ACGGGCGGTGGGGTAGCCTAGTGGTTAAAGTGTTGGCTCGTCACGCCGAAGACCCGAGTTGGAATCCCCACATGGGTACAATGTGTGAAGCCCATTTCTGGTGTCCCCCGCCGTGATGTTGCTGGAATATTGCTAAAAGCGGCGTGAGACCAAACTCAGTCAGCAAGTCAGTCAGTCATATATGTATGTGTATGTGTATGTGTATGTGTATGTGTATGTGTATGTGTATGTGTATGTGTATACGTATACTTGCGTATGTGTGTATATGCGCGTGTGCCTTCAACTAATGTACGGTTTGATACACATATTTGCGTCATATTTGATTTTTATTTGTGTTATGTCGGGACTAGATATAATGGTGTGCTGGATCAGGTTATTTATGTTTATCATGATATGTGCGTTGTCTTTTGGAGCATAATTCCGCTCTTTCACATCCTTCAACGCGACAATTTAGATGGTATCTATCGATGAAATTTGAGCTTATGAAACCCGTGGGTAGGGTAGCCTTCACTTTGTTGGCAATGTTATGTTTTTCCATTTATGTGTTTTTAATGTTATTGTGTTTGCACCTCATTCTATGCATTTACCACAACTCTGTTAAACATAAACAAAAAGCCCGAACATGGGCCTTCTACGACATTGCCGTTTTTGCTGTCTACGTAACCCTCTCGCATATTCGGTTTATTGGTAAGCCTCACAATTCGTCTAAACATGTAACAAGCCTTAATAAATGGACGATACACTGAAAATAGTAAAATGTTGAGGCATCAATGATAAAACTAAACGTAAAGAAATATCCACATTTCTAAAGAAAAGGAAAGCCAATGTCTACTGTTTGCAAGACGTGCAATATGGAAGAAAATATGGAAAAAAATATAAAAGAAGAATGGGGAAACAAAGACTGTTTCTTTAGCTCGTATAAAAGTAATTCTAGAGGTATAGGTATACTGTGTGTTAATAGTTTTGACTGCAAAATCGTGAACGACAAATGCGATGACAATGGCAATGTGCTGATTGTCGAAATGGACATTAACGATTATAAGCTAGCTATTGTTACTATTTATGGACCAAATAAAGACGACGAAAACTTTTATGACAACCTAGACACGACAATTAGAGCTCTCGATAGTGATCATATCGCTCTGTGCGGAGACTGGAATGTTATCCAAGATTATTCAAGTGATGTATTCAACTACAAACATGTAAACAACCAAATAGCAAGGGATAGAATTCTACGACACTTGGCGACAACCCACCCCTTTGAAATAAGCACGCTTGGACTACTTTTACATTTCCCATAATATAGTACCTTCCGTTATGAAAACGGAAAGGGGACCTAGCTTCAGAACGGACCACTCACCAATATCACTAACGTTTAAACTTACAGACCTTAAACGAGGAAAGGGTTATTGGAAATTCAATAATTCTCTACTAAAAGACGAAACGTATGTAACACTCGGTAAAACTACCATTGAAGAAACAAAACAACAGTATATAAATGGTAACAACCCAGAAACAGAATTTATTATAGACAACCAACTTTTCTCGGAAACATTGCTTCTTGCGATAAGAGGTAAGACTATCCAGTATTCATCCAACAAAAAGAAACAACAATGGGAAAGGGAAATTGAAGAAAAACTAAACCTTCTCACAAAACAATTAAAATGATGAATTAGATGAACAATCAGCAAAAGAGGACATTCAATCAGAGTTCAAAATAGTTAATGCAGAATTAGAAGAAATCATCAAACACAGAACAAAAGGCTTAATGGTACGGACAAAAGCACAATGGATGGAACAAGGAGAAAAAACCAAAAGTATTGTTTAAGTTTAGAATTAAGAAACTATTTAAATAAATCCATAAACAGAATAGAGCAGGATGATGGTACAATGGTTGAATCACAAAATGATATACTAAGGGAAGTAACATCGTATTACTCGAAACTATACTCAAAACATGTCATTTTAAACTTAGACCTTAGATCGCTGCTAAAAGAATACGATACCCCCATAATATCAAATGAAATAGCCCAGTGGTTAGAAGGTGAGCTGACCTACAACGAGATACTGGAAGCTTTGAAACACTTAAAAAATGATAAGAGTCCTGGGCCAGATTGTTTTACGTCGGAATTTATCAAGTTTTTCTGGAACGATCTTGGGAAATATCTTCTAAACTCCTTAAATAGCGCTTACAAAAATGGACAATTATCAATATCACGAAGGCAAGGACTAATAACGCTACTTCCAAAACGAAATAAACCAAAACAATACTTAAAAAACTGGCGACCAATAAGCTTACTATCCGTGTTCTATAAAATCGCATCGATAGCAATATCACAAAGGGTAAAAAAGTGACTGAACTACAGTGGTTCCAATATCAAATGTTACACCATATATTGCCAACCAACTGCCTTCTCACTAAGATGGGTTACGTGGACAGTACAAAAAGCAGTTACTGTTCTAAAGAAATGGAAGATGTCATACATATATTCTGGGAATGCAACAAAGTGAGTTCCATCTGGAGAGACCTGGAAAGCTGAATATCATACAAACTGTAAAATCCGTTAACAATATCCAAAGAAGACGTTCTTTTTAGCTATCTATCGAAAAATAACAATCCCTTAAACCTTGTTATCATCCTGTCAAAACGAATCATTTTCAACTTTAGAAACAATAACTACCCACCAACATTCCAGTTCATACAAAGGATCTCACTGAATTTTATAAGTTAACGTAACTGTAATAGAGACTATTTCAATAAGGTTTGGTCAAACTGCCATGCTTTATTCTCTTAAATACACTGTCATGCCCAACCATGTAAATGCTTAGAATAAATAAACAAATTATATAAAAATACAACTCTTTACTGATAAATACTAACTGATGATTTTCAAACCAAGTTTAAAACAAAGTTATCATAATTAAGGTATCCGACATTGTTGGTAATTTAAATGGACCTAACTCGGTCCTTTGATCCATTGTTATCTGTGCAAATGACTGATAATGTCCCGGTTCTAGAATATAAAGATCCTGATAATCGGTCACAAACCAAGTGGGAAAGTTCGTGCATTGACCTGAAAATGAAAAATAGTGTTTTTGCACGATTACCGTAAAAACCAAGTTCATGTATAAAACCCATTCCATAGCAATATGAAATGTGTGCTGATAACGTCTTTGAGTGACATTTTAGGACTTTGGGAGTACAATACTAAATAATGTATGGAAAAGAACTCCCTTTATTCATGAAACGTATCTTTTATTGCTGTCATTCCTGCTTGCAAGGGACGGTGAGGTAGCCTAGTGGTTAAAGCGTTGGCTCGTCACGCTGAAGCCGCGGGTTCTATTCCCCACATGGGTACAATGCGTGAAGCCCATTTCTGGTGTCCCCCACCGTGATATTGCTGGGATATTGCTAAAAGCGGCGTAAAACTAAACACACTCACTCCTGCTTGCAAGGAATCGTCACAATCGTAAATAAAAGAAGTTACTATCCATAAAAGTGTCCTGGTAGGCGGACTAAATATAACATCTTCATGCTATCCAAAGTCATATGGGGCTTAAGAATCACGTGGTTAGATTAAATGCATCGTTTTCTTTCAGATAATTCACAGTTATGGTAACTTGGGGACAATCAGTTAGATGACAACGTGTTCAAAGAGAGGTCTTAGGCAGTCATGGTTGAGTATAGGTATTGCAGAGACAACACCTCTGCATATTAAAAGTCATAGGCTTTCGTTTCTTTTATGAAAAATAGGCTATTCACATGCATGTTTATAAGAGTCACTGGTTGTCTTTACAGACAGATGTTTCGCGAAAGATATAACCCACCTCTAAATATATCAACATGTTTTTTTACGAATTGCAAACGCGGGTTATATCGAACTTAAATTATTTGACCCTATGGGTTCATTACACTTCCATCGGCAACACATTCCTTTCTCTAAAATCGCAAGCTCTTTTAGGTGATGGCGAAGCCGTCAGTGTTTGGGTACGATTCGAGAACGATTTCTAAAAAAGCAGGCTTGATCTACAAAGACGACATATAACCGGTTTGGGTGTTCATGTGACCAGTAGTCCACAAATCGAACCCCTTGAAAACACATATGTGTAATCATTCACATTGGTACTTCGTTCATCTAGTTTGTACCCAGGTAGCAATTTCGCGTTGTAGCAACGTTGTAATGTAATCTTATTTCTGTGGACTTAATGAGAGTTTCAATGTTCAGCATCATACATATATGCTTAAATATACGTATTTCGTTGTTGAAATATTTATTATACATAGTTCAGGAGTGTCTTAGCGTGGAGTTCCAGTTGTTGCGAAATGTGTGCTCGCCTTGTCGAAGTTACCACCCACGATATCCCACTCACCCAGAGGGATATGTCAAGGCGAAAATGTCGCAATCGCGGTTGTGTTTTTGCACGCACAACCAGGGACACACGGAAACCAGATTTCCCCAAGGTACTTTGACAGTTCTATTATTTCACGTCCACACATGAGTAACACACATTTTTTGTTTCGCTTCATTACTGTTTTATGCACACTTTGTAACTGAAGATACACACTCTTGTAGATCCGTCAAGAATAATTATACGTAAGCTTTTAAATTTAGAACTTGACTAAACACCAATACACGAACTAATTTGTGCATAATAAAATCGAAAATAAACCATAATCATCAGAAGCAGAGTCCAGTGTAAGTTTCTTGCAAAATAACATGTTAACAAATAGTTAAGCATTAAGTACACAAAAATAATTTTCATTTCGGATTATTCACTCAGTGATAGAAACAGATATGTGAGGATGAAATAAAATCGCTACTCGCTATTAGGAGCCATTAGCTATATGCTATAGTGAAGTATCACTGTCTGATTGATGATTCCATGCACAATCATTGATAGAACAACGTTTCCGTTTTCAAGAATGTGTGTATCGCTGAAACGCCCATTAACAAGGTTTGATAAGGTATAGCACAACATAACCTGGCCACCATATCGTCACCACATATAAGAACTGCTCGTCATTACACTGAACACCCGAGTCTGTTGGAAGCTCATAAGCCGGAATTCAAAACACATGTTGGGGATATACAAAACTATAGCCGTCTTTCTCGGTACACTGTCGTCACTGCATGCTGCGAGTACAGGTAAACATTTCAGGTTTCTACAGCTAGATTATGACGCAACGACAGACATTTATCTCATACAAAATCAATATTCTGTACGATTTGTTCCTTGATTCTGGTATTCGATAACACGAAATTTGTCCTGTCCCGATAACATGTTTTCCTGTACAAACATGATTCGAGGCAGTACACAGCTGAATGTATTTACTGTGCTGATATACAGAAATGCGAAAATATCGAGGATATATCGTTGATATCTCACTAGTTAAACAAGGTCATACGTTCCTTTACCTGTATTTTGAACATTTGAAACGTCGGTCATTGCTATTAAAATGACCCATTTAGAAAATTTGTACAGAATACTAGGGTTTCCAGGGAGCATAAGAATTAAAAGAATTTAAGTCAACAATAACAAGGTCGCTTTTTTGGCAAGTACATTAAGTATTTAGAAAATATTAAGAGTCAGAGATTTATATGACATTTATCTAGATTTGTTCATATAAACACATCCATGTCAATGTATACATCATACCAAAATGTGCCAAAATGATGATTTGAGTAGGTTTTAGAGGCAATGTTTTAGAAACTTAAAGCTTCAGCTCGACGAATTTATGTTTCCTGGATTTAACATGTTACATAATCTGGGCTGCCAACCGAAACCTGCCATTGCGCATGATGCGAGGGATACGTGATGCTGGCAATACGTGCAGCTTATTACAATACCTGACAATGATTCACCTGAAGGTGTAATATTAGAGTGAGTTAGTGAGTTAAGTTTTACGCCGCACTCAGCAATATTCCAGATATATGGCGGCGGTCTGTAAATAATCGAGTCTGGACCAGAAATTCCAGTGATCAACAACATGAGCATCGATCGGCGCAATTGGGAAACGATGACATGTGCCAACCAAGTCAGCGAGCCAGACCACCCGATCCCGTTAGTCGCCTCTTACGACAAGCATGGGTTACTGAAGACCAATATTTTAACCCGGACCTTCACGGGTCGTGTAATATTAGAAGTAAACTTTTTCATAATGAACGCGCTTAAAACATGATCGGGTGGAAATAACGAAATGTTCTGTCCTGCCCATTTGCTCCATATTTTAGTCGAAATTTTATAACGAACTACGGTTATATCGAACTAAAAGTGGTGGTCCCCTTTAATTGGTTATAACCCTAGTTTACTGTAGTATGCTGTCTGTTAATCTTCAGTTGACACTCGGAGCACGGCCAGGCATGATGATTTATTGACGCCTCCAAGGTGCAACCTAGTCATTGTTGTGCTACAATTTAGATATATGTCAAGATCTCAAATGAGATGCTGTGGACAAGCTGACGGACGTCCAATCCAATCTGTTTAACCCGGGAAGCACTCCTTGAATATTTGAAATTCGTCTTTTTAATATTACCTTTTGTTTATTTTCATAAGAGATGTAAGTTGAAACAGTGACAATTGTGCATGCATATGTCAAGTTGGATCACAGGCATGCTCATATTTAGACGTTAAAGATAAAACGGCCCATACACTACTCCGTCCCTTGAACACGGTGAACTCACCAAAAGGCTAAAAAGTATCGATCTCAGCACTACGTGACACCAGATGATTTTATTCGGTAGTAAAATTTCTGTGTATTGTTCTCCTGACAAATTTAATAATGTGACCCCTAGCCACATACCAATGATTATTTGTGTTGTTAAATATTTAATTGATGTATCAGTGCAAGGCACACAACATTTGCAATAACCTTTTGAAAGTGTCCGGTAAAAGCACAATGCATTGAATGATTCTCATAATACCATGAGTATGTGGTTTCCTCTTGATTCCAAATCAGTTATTTTTAATGCACGTATAGATGTGTGTCACACAATATCTTCACAGACAGATGTTTTCGGGAAATCACTCTCAGCGGAGACGCAGCCAATATTACATCGCCCGGGTATCCAGAGTCATATGGCCCGTAAGTGAGTGAGTGAGTGAGTTAAAATTTAACGTCACATCGGCAATATTTCAGCCATATCGTGACGAAAACAATTAAGTTTATACATAGTAATTAATGGTAAATTGTAAAAACCTTTCAACGAAGGACAGTAAAATAACCAGAATATCACAGATTCGAATTTAAAACTAGTAATTAGAGCTAAAACAGTTTAACCATAGATGACAATGCAATATAAAAACAGGCTATATTTTGCCAACAACCGAAGGTAGATCACCCTACCAGGGACCATGGGGACTTACAGTACATTTGCTTCCTGCATGGGCCCTACCTGGATTTACTTCATCCCTTCAGCCGTTAGCAATTGAGACACATCTAGCCATATATTAAAATTACACATATTCTATGATTAAATAAGTGGAGTTTTAATTTACTGGGAAAGTTTTGGGACTTACGTACCCTCTCAGGAGGACAATAATTTTACAGTACTTTAACCCCCCTCGTGGATACAACCACTAACATTTTGAGTTATATATGGCCCGTAAGCTTCATATGTTTCTGATTCGACCAGTACATAGCGGATCGCGGCATGTCCAATCATCCATGTAATTGAAAGGGATCGTAATGTCTTGTCAAACAAGTAACCATTGACTCAAGTGTTGTACTTTACTGAGAAAATGTAATTATAAATGTAGCTGATGTTCGTTAACTTTATAACTGATGCTGTAACTACAACGCGAAGTTCGCTTTGTAAATGAAAGTAGAGCCCCTTCGAACATATGTTGGATGTTTTATACATTTTTTAAAAGGTTATTGCATATATATACTTTGTTTCTTCCCAAGAAGATTCAATTAGAAGAGAATACTCCCATCATTGGTGCGGATTTATTCTTTATTTAAATTGTCATATTATTCATCAAAAACAATTCAAACATAACTGAAATGACGTCAATAATTGTTTATTTCAGTAACTTAACATGCGGATGGAATATACACGCATCGTCCCCAGACCGTCAAGTTGGCGTTTATATTGTATACCTTGACTTGGAAGTGTCCTACAATTGCCAGTATGACAGGCTGTCCTTCTATGATGGTAAGTACATTATTTGAAAACATGTATAACAGGATACTGAGATAAGGAGATTATAAACGACAGGATGTTCACATATGCCTTTGACTGCAAATAAGGGGTTGACAGCATGAGCGATGACCAGTGTATGATGCCTCACTGTCTGCCCTATTGTACATTGTTGCACTCGATTCTCATCGAAGTTGCCTGTCATGAAAAGCATAGACCTGATTCTGGTCGGAATCCCCAGTGTGCACATATGTGGTAACGACAATCATTGAAAGGGTCTACATGAGTAAGGTTTGCTATAATCTTATACGATAACTTCTTTGAATCGGCATGTTTAGAAGTTGGAGAATCAGATAAGGACAAAACTTTATGGATGAACAACCTCTTTATTCGGATGATGCGACGTTTCGATACATATAATTGTCTTGCTTGACAACGTTGATCGAAACGTCGCATCATCCGAATAAAGAAGTTGTTCATCCTTAACGTTTTGTCCTTATCTATTTTATACGAACCAATACTTACCTTTATTTAAAATGAATTCAAGTCATTCGTCAATGCACGATAGCGCACATATAATTATACTACATGTGTTTATGAGTGTGCGTTTCTGACGATACCTGTCACCCATTAGTGTTTACTATGGTGATATTTCTTTTTTGTCACCAGGGCCAGACAAATCAAATGGATCCATGTTCACATTTTGCGGCAGAGATTCAACCCCGAGAAGTATCCTCAGCAGCAGCAATAGCATGTACATAGAGTTTATCTCAGATTCTTTTGTGAATTCAGAAGGGTTTCGCATCATCGTTATCGACGTTGAAAGTGAGTATACCGCTTCTGTTATATCGACCTCTACAGAACAGGTCTAGATACATTCATTCGCCATGATTTTGAAAATGAACTATAACTACCTGTATTGAATAATGTGGTTTATTTGCCTCAGAGTACTTTATTTAGTTTAGAAAATATGCACCTATTGAAAGGCGAGGATCCTCCGTTTTGCATCCCTTGTGATGAAAGAGTCACGGTCAAGCATATCCGCTTGACTGTGTTGAATATTCCATCACAAGGGATATCTATTTCAAATCACGAACTATGAAGGATCTTTTTAATAATGTCAGTTCTCATTTAATTATTGCATTTTTAAAAGAATTAGATTTGTTAAATGATTTGTAAATAGATAAATGATATTTTAAACATGTAGCATAAATTAGCAACTGCGATTGTAAGTGGCTGTATCCTCGAAGGGGGTGAAAATATCGTAAAATCATTGTCTTCATGAGAGGGTACGTAAGTCCCAAAACTTTCAAAGTTAAATTTTTGCTTACCCGATTTTTCAACGTAGTATATTTGTTCCTTTAAAATTCGGCTAAACTGGTCCTACAATCGCCAGCGGCTGAAGGGATGGTGTAAATCCAACAAGGGTCCATGCAGGTAGTCCCCATGGACCCTAGTATGGTGATCTACCTTCAGTTGTTGGCGATCAATAGCCTGTTTTATATTGTATCGTCCTCTTAGTTGTTTAGATTTTAATTACTAGTTTTAAGTATATATCTTTGATAGTCTAGTTGTTTTACTGTCCTTCGTCGGCAGGTTTTTATAATTGATATGTATTTATGGTGAATTTACAACTTGTTTACAGTCACGATATGGCTGAAATATTGCCGATGTGACTCTCAATCTTAACTCACTCACTCATTAGAAAATATGCAGAGTAATGGTTCATAAAATTCTGCGAAACCTTACGAAGATTCCTAGTATGTTGATCTACCTTCAATAAATTGTTGTCAGTCTATAAACCCTGTTTATACTGTATTGTCATCTATAGTTGAAATGTTTTAGATTAAATTGCTTGTTTTAAATTTATATATGTGATACATCTAGCTGTGTCACTGTCTTTCGTTCATACGTTTATAAAATATACTTCCTATTACTACATACCGCTGGCCATATCACGATATGGCTGAAATAGTGCCGATGTGAATTTTTACTCACTAAGACCATTCCAACGAGTTTTGTCTGAAACTATCTGTGAAGATCCGGGTTAGAATGTGCCTTCAGTAACCCATGCTTGTCGTAAGAGGCGACTAACGGGATCGGGTGGTCAGGCTTGCTGACTTTGTTGACATATGTCATCGTTTCCCAATTGCGCAGATCGATGATCATGCTGTTATTTACAGACCGCCGCCATATATCTGGAATATTGCTGAGTGCGGCGTAAAACTAAACTCATCTTGAAACACTTAACAAAGGGTTGGCAAAATTACGTAAAGCATAAATATAGTTTAAGACTCTGGGAAACTGTTGCATGGATATTTATCGTAATACAATTATACGACATGAACTTACTCTAATCTAATATACACATATGCTCATAAATGCCAGTTTAACGAACATAAAGGCAGATGGATACTGCTACATAATACTTTATTTCAAAAATATTTTCCACCAGTATTCGAACAATCTACCTTATGTGTGAAAACTATTGCCTTTGTAGAATGTGGGGGAAGGCTGACAGCAACATCTGAGAAACGGAACTTTGCTTCCCCGGGGTATCCTTACACCTACTTCAAGTAAGTTTATAACATTTCTGCAGAGATGTTTGTTTACTCTTCGAAAAAAAGAAACGCATAGGCCCAAAATAAGGAAATGTATAAAACGTATTTAAGCGTACATAGATCGATTAAAGTTGAACCTCCTCGCGTTGGCAAGGTTTGCAAGTGTCTGAGGACAACGGCGACGTTTACCTCCGCGTCGATCAAGCTCGTATCATAGATGTTCACGAGCTCTGTGGGGTCGAGCGTTGTGTTGAAACAGCTCCCCCTAGCTGTTAAAAAGTGTGTGGAGGTAATGTCGCAGAGTTTGGGCGATGTAGCGATTTCTTGTAAGATTGCCTTGAGCTACCGCTAACTCTGATCCACCCGTTTAGGACATGGCTCCCCACACCTCCAAATCTGCCCACCCGTCGAACGCAGTTCGGTGCCGAAGGTTCGTGTTGACCTCGAAAAACACATTGTCTCCCATCCTGTCGTTGCAGGAGGAAACGCGATTCATCGCTGAACCAATCGCAAACCATGCTATCCCAATCGGCCCTGAGTAGGAGTGGTCACTCTTGGTCGTCCGCTTATGGAATGATCTTGGGTCGAAATGAATCTGGCACATCGATGTTATTATAATCGAGCTGTGGTGGACGTTGAAGTTTGACTGGGATTCCCCTGCTTCCAAACGTCCAGTACTGACATTTCAGTCAGTAGCATTCAGTCTTGACATCTTCGTAAATTTCGTGATGAAAAATGATGAACTTGGTTTGCCTTGTATAGTCTCTACTCATGTGGCCAACATATTGCATGTGCATTACGTTGAAAACTTTTTCTGCATGCACTTTTCATGTATCGTTTGATTTTTTATACGTTTACAAACACGTTTTGGGATGCGTTTGTTCACGGGATTCAAATATAGGAACTGTCTTAATGACGATTGCTGTCAAACGCAGTATTGTGTCGAAATGAACTGCTGAAAACCCATTTGCGTTTCTTTCTGTTGAAGAGTTTACATGTTCATATCCTTCATCATAATGGTTAGGTGATACAGAATACTCGCCATACAAATATGTTATTGTCTTTTCAGCAATCTTAACTGCACGTGGATCATCACTGCGGAAAATGCAGCTGATACAGTTGCACTGACAACCTTAAATTCAGATATTGAGAAAGATACTTCTTTTTTCAATCCCTGCTCCCATGATGCCCTTCGCGTTTATAACGGAAACACGACTGAAGGTACCTACTGCGTTTCGCAATGACCTAAAATTTGGCAGTTGGTGGCGTTGAGGAAGGTCACATAGTTGCATGATATGACATCACCCATACGATCTAAAAACTATGCAGTTTTTAGAGGCAAACTGTAATAAGTAAAACTAGGATCGTCGTCCGCAAAGAATATCTTACACCTACGTGTATCTGCCATGTACAGAAGCATGCTCAATCGTATCACACTTTTACCACGGTAATAAGTAAAACTAGCATCGTCGTCCGCAACGAATACCTTACACCTACGTGTATCTGCCATGTACAGAAGCATGCTCAATCGTATCACACTTTTACCACTGTAATCGATCAGGTATTCGGGGTAAGGCAATGGATGTGGTATTCTGAGCTTATCGCTTGTAATCATGTGACCTTTCTCCTTTCGTGTTCGCATTAACATCAGCTGAGCTATCCTATCGACGGCTATTTATAACTGATAAACGTTATTGCGAAACTTGGCCACAATCACTTACTCATGCACTCAAGTCGTTGTTTATGGCAGCTGAATTTATGATATGAGTCGCCAAAAATGTTTTTATATAATCCTGTAATAGATACAAGCAGGTATTCCGTTTTCATTTGGAGACGTCATAACCATTCCTACTATAAATATATACATAATTTCCTCTCGTTACTGAAGGCAGTAATTCACGTTATAAGCCATCGTTTGTGTACACACATGAAACACGAAAAACTCTCTCATTGCTCTTTTGAAAAGAGAGTGATGTAAGAGAGTGAACACGAAAACATTTATGCACTGTAGGTTCCTGATAGTAAATGCATGTCAGTTGTCTCCGCGTTTAGACAAGTTTTTTAAATTTAATGTTAAATATGCTGAGTACAACTAAGTTAGAAATCATTTCATATTTCAGATGATCAATATCTTGGGAGGTCATGTGCATATCAGACTCCCATATACCAAAGTTCGAAGAATTCACTGTTGGTCCGGTTTACCACTGATGCTGGCACAACTAGGCCAGGCTTCAAGTTGCAATATTTCTCACGCAGAGGTATTCGGTGTTCATCTGCAACTATATGTACCTACACGTATATCCGTTTTTTTCCAAAGAACGGATAAGTCGACCGTTTGCTTGATGTGTTAAGGTCATATGGATGCCTTTTGCCTCTTTGAATACACTGTTATTGGTTTAAAATGAACATTTAACATTCTCATATAATTTAGCATTCATTTGCGATTACATTAAATCTAAATTAGAGAGAGAAATAACTTAAGAAATATTCTTGGTAGAAGGGTTACTGTATGTAGCATATAAAGAAAGAGACATGGCTATGGACTATACATAAATTCATATATTTGTATAGTAGTATCTAATATAAAATATATTTGAAACTGACAGTTGGTGACTGCAATAACACGTTTCTGGTGTATTCCTCACTCCTGACCATTCTGTCACCTGGATATCCCGACTCTTATGAAAGGTAAGTCAAATCAACTACTATTATAACAATATATGCCCAACGCCGGTCCAAGCTAAGACATCGGGAGTTTTTGCGTAACAAAACACTCAATATTGCATCTTTAATCATGCGAACATTTGTCAGCAAACAATGTATGCCCAGATTAACATGGTTTCACTGTACTAAGCAAATACCTGGATGTTATATACAAGCTATACCGCTACTCATCAGTATTCAAGACATGAGTCAGTATCAGACTGTACGCTTTCTAATATAATGGACAAAATATGTTACTAAGGATATTGGTATTTTTATGATTGATATTTTATCAGTGTGTCAATGAATAAATAGGTCAGTATTCATAATTTCAAAAATTACATATATCCCTCAATGTTATTGTCCAGTATATTACTGGATATCCTTAAGGATATTATACACCAATGCATAGGGCCAAATCGTATCACTATAGGGAATGCACTATTCTTAATAGCATTAAGTTGATATTAGTGAATAACCTCGTATTAAATATGTGCCCAAGACAAGTTTTGTAAATACAATAATCTACCCATGTTGGTTACATTACATATTACCGGAAGTGTTTCCTGACTTGTTGGAGGTTTCCAGGAAATGAAAATCCTGTTATTTACTGACATGGGCAAGAGGGATGTCTCAAACATGGTATCGACTGTATAAATAGTTATATCTGTCGCTTCAAAGGTTCAGGGCATGAATGAAAGGAAAAGTGATATAATAGCTACAGTCGAAAACAATATGTACATGCCTCACTTCCTAATATGTAGCATCGAGGACACGGGAGTCATGATCAGGCATGGGCGGAAAGTCCTCGTTTTGGTTGATGTGTTTCGGTATGTATATGAAACCAAATGTCTGATCAGACAATCTTGTTGGCAAACTGAGACACTGGGGAATTGTGAAATTTACGTGTAAACTTCAGGCATATAGATCCCTCGATAATGATGATGTAGCCAATTCCCTTCTACCGACCTTCCCGACTATAACAGGAAATTAAGACACCACAGAAACCGCTTATTGATTACGACTATGGAAAAGATTGTCTCATCCTGGAACGCTGACAATGTGAGACACATTTGTCAGCCTCTTCTAACAACTGACCATTGTTTAGATCCCATGGACTATATACCTTTCAAAATTGTTCCAGTAACTTGGAATGCTTCATAATGCTGGTCGATGCATCACAATCAACGCCTTACAACTTGGAACTGGACATCGTCGACTCGGACTTAGATGGCGCCTACCCGGACTGCCAAAATGACTCGGTTACCCTTTATTATGGTGTGTGAAGGACATTACAACACATGAATCAAGACCTTCGCGAGGTTTACCCAGTGCAAATCACTTTGCATTGAGGCCAGGGAGAGCAAAAAGGCAACTCTCCCTCTTCGGGGAAGTTCAAACCTAAATTGCTGATGTTAAGATTTTTTCGGAACGAAAACACGAAAATGAAGTGAAAATCGACACGCAGAAGTGTTGAGATAGGGTAAAAAAAACAACAAACCCCCCCCACCCCCACCCCCCACACACAGACATTGTTATCAGTAGATGTACACTATATATCAATCAGTTGTTAAATAGATACTTTTGACAGCTACTTTTGGCTCCGAGTATATAAAGTATCTTACTAGGGCTAACTTATGCTTATATTATTGATCATTTGCCTGTTAGCACAGTTGATCATTGCTTTCAATGAAGGCATAAACATAATTAACGTGTATTTCAGTTCTTATATATTATGTTGATATTCTGTTAAATAACTGAAATCCTATCTTGAATGGTACCGTATGTTCCCGTGTTTTGCATTTTCAAGCGAACAATTGACCAGCATTTGCACGTGTTTATGATATGTGCCACCCGTCGGGAAGGATGCGCTGACTTTTCGTGAAAACATGTGATCGGTACTATGTGAATGTACCATAAACGAAATTCAATGTTTTTCATATCGTCAAAACCGACGCTGCAATTAGCAGAGATTGTTTTGTTGATATGGATATGGTTTTGTCGTATTTATGCCATTCATTCATTCATTTGTTTATGCCTTAATCGCGACAGAGATAAACATGTATATCTGACCCAAATATCTGTTATTATCTCTAATTATTGTAACTTTTTAGTAAAATTCGAATTACTAAATGAAAAGCATAAGAAATAATTTTACATTCATTAACAGAATTGATACCTAAATAGCCCAGCGGCAGTTCATTCTGAAATGTTTGGATGAACAAAGAAATTGTCAATAATCATTGTTTGATATTTGTTAGGTTCTATGGGGGTGGGAATGAGAGCAACGATAATTTTTGTTCTGTATTTGTTTGTGAGGCATCTATATGTTTTGAATGTAGATCAGAGTGGGAGCCGCATTACAGAGTTGTGTGGTAATGCTTCAACAACTCCAGTGGGTCCGTACTACTCCAACGGAATGGTAATGACAATGGTGTTCAAAACTGACGGTGACACAAGTGGTCGGGGCTTCCGAATTAGTGCTTCCCACAGCGAACGGAAAGGTGTGTCAAATACTCGAAATGAAAACCTAAAAACTATCTGAAATAAAATTTACATATTTCCATTTTGTAACTGAAGTAAATGATCATCGGATTTAAGGACATCACAGCAGACTTCAGTTCGTATTTTGAAATTGCATAGCTTTCTGGATATGATTGAATACCTTAATGTTGCAGTGATACCACCCCAATCAGATGACTGTGGCTCTCAGTTCCTTAATGCAACAACAAGTCGACAGTTCCTACAGTCCCCTGGATACCCTGTACGATATCAAAAGTAAGTATTCATCTCATGCAGCATGTTGATATATTAGGTTCATGAGTGCGTTCCTTTATATATGCTTGGAGTAGCAGTACATGTGAAAACAAATCCTCTTCACTGGACAGAATACTTCCTTAGTGTGAGTTTACATTGACTCTGTGAAATCGCGTAGACCGTTCCGGTATTTTAGCTACGTTTCATCACGAATGTTAGAAATCAAATAATTGAATACATGGGAAAGTGTTGAAAAGTCCATGCTGATCTTGATACTACTTGACGTATTGCAGCAATGAAGACTGTCGGTGGACAATTGCGGCATCTAATAGCAGTATGATGGTGCGCATCGACGTCATTGACTCGGATACAGGGTCTTATGATAGCGGTTACTATAACTGTAGATACGGCTATGTTACGGTTTATGACGGTGAGTAATTTGAGTAAGTACGATCTGATAGCGATCGGGATACTGACCTTTTACCGTTATATCCTGACATATACAAGAACACTGCTTGGAAAGGGAGTTGGGGGAGGGACATATATTTGTATAGTTACAACTGAGCACACGATGTTAGATGTTTGGTTTAATGTCGCACACAGCAATATTCCAGCGACATGAAGGGCAACCAGTATATATCCGAGTAGGAAACACAAAATGCAGTGATCGACACCATGGATCTCACGACAAGCATGGTTGCTGAAGGTCAATTCTAATCCGGCTCTTCAAGGTCGGAGCACATGATATCATGAACATACCCGTAGAATATTCATGATCACTATCTTTTGTGTTCATGATCAGTGTATAGCTAAATTATATAAATTAATGTTTATCGTTTTATATTTTGTGTAAATATGTTCAGAACAGAAAACGGCTCTTAGAAATGCCTTATACAGTACAACCAGAAATTATTGAGAATTTAAAGATTGTAATATTATATTTTCTTTCACTCATTACAAACGTATTAAATGTGAATATTAGCAGAAAATAACTCCAGATTCAAAGACAGGTGAACAGTTAGTATTTTGTCAAGTCACCATGGGCAGCAATGCAGGCTTCAATGCGGCGGGGCATACTACTGATCAAAGAAGTTAGAAAGTCGTGGTCCATGCTGTCCCAATATTGGACCACCTCTTCTTTCATTTCAGCCACATTTGCCAGATTTTTCTTATTGACACTTTCCTTCATAAGCCCCCAAAAATTTTCTATGGGATTTAGGTTAGGGCTATAGCTTGGCCAATCTAATAATGTTATATTTTGGGTCCGAAACCAGGCCTGTGAATGCTTTGAACGATGTTTTGAGTCGTTGCCCTGCTTGAAAATCCAAAAATGTCCTTAAACACTTGAGCAGATGGAAGTAAATGTCCCTCAAGAATATCTGTGTACCGCTCACTGTTTATATTCCCTTCAAATACACATAGGGGCGTTGCCCCTAACACAGATATGCCACCCCACACGTAAAATTTCGGACTGTACTTTGGGCGCTGATACAAAGGTTTTTCAGTTTGTTTGGTACAGAATTTTAGTGTATTAGGAAACAGCCACACAGAACTTTCATCTGAGAAAATCACATTGTCCCAGTTAAAATTTCTCTATGCTGTAAGCACCAGTTCAACCTTCGCTCCTTTTGTTCAGGTTTCATGATCGGTGATGGAATTCCTCGACTTTTCTGCTAACCCATTGCATGCAGCTCAGCTCTAATTGTCTCCTAACAGACAGCCACAATTCCTCTATCAATCATATCCAGCCTTAAGTTTTCTAAACTCCTTCGTTTGTTTTTAGAAACAAGAATACTAAGCCGCCTCCTGTCACCGACAGTCAATTTTCTGGGTCTACCTGCGCCTCCCTGGTGCTCAATGCCATATCCATTTGCAATATTTTTCAAAACACGATAAACATTGGACAAAAGAATGCCTGTTCTACTTGAAATCACTTTAGCTGATCTGATGTCCTTGTTATAATACTCTAAAATCAACTTCCTCTTCTAAATCATCCATACTGAGGATCACTGAAAATGCCGTCTGCTAGCAAGTAAACAAAGGGAGATAACTCCTCACAAACTAATGAAAACGAATTAACAGAGTTGTCTCTCTTGAATGAAACCAAGCACTTGACAGCTGGTCAAGGTTGTTTATACTAGAAATCCAACTAAACATATTCCCAAAATTCGCAATAATTTCTGGTCATACTATATTATCATGTCCATGATGTATATTTATACTCACTTAATCCAGAAGCAAAACCTCTTATTACATACATAGAAGCCACTACAGGATATGTTCGCCACCCTGACCTGACCATAGCCCTAACACTAGCCCTGACAGCTGCGATTTTTTAAAGTGGTGGTATAGAAGACGGGTGTTTGAGTAGTAAAGGAAACGATTGTTGGTACACATGGTGAAATAGTTACTAAATCAGGTTTCAACAATCTTGCCCCACAGGTGGTTATTGTATGTTGCGCCAATATGATGAAATAAAGCAAACGTAACCTAAAATGTACCGGGGAAAACTGTATGCGAACTGAATACACAATGCCACTTAGAAAGTGGACCAATCTAACATATGTTAGATTATGGATTACACTTTCTTAGTAAAGTACAGATTCTAGTAGTATGGGTTGAGTTTCATCCGAGATTCGAACCCCTACCCTCAGTCAGGCACCTGCTCGTCATCACACAAAGTCAGACGCCTAACCTGCTCATCCACCGCGGTTTCGAGATTATGTTAACTGGTGGCATTCCTTATCGATGACAGTTTGGGAATAGGACATTTGACCAAAGAGAATTTATTCACATGGACACCAGTTTTGCTCACCTTTATGCTTTTATATTCTGTAGGAATATAAGAAGTTGAAAACCCCTGACGTGTTTTATAGTTAGAAACATGGATGAAGAAACATTAATCCACAAGACTGTTTTTAAAACATGATTGATTCAAATGTCCAACAGCAAACCTTCTCTTCATGTCGAGTAATGTTCCAGCAGCCCGCCACGATCAACCATACTTTCGGCATCACGATTTCGCACTGCGACATACTACTATAGCTAAAATGTTAATTGATTAACATTGCTATCGGCTTGACTACCATAAATAACACTGTGAAGCACATGGAGGTGTGCAATACGTGACAAATGTTGGGTTTTTTTGGTGCGTTTTGTACCACTGCTGCTGCATGAATTAGTTTTTCATTAATGAGAACATATTTCGAATATTTCGCATTTATTTCAACTTTATTAAAAAAGAAATAAAATTTCGACACTTTTCTGGTTGCTTTCGGTGAGAGAACATGCTCGAAGCAGCTTGCACCTCAATGGAAATGTCGTTGACCTATATCACATGAATGAACTGAACTGCGAGCATGCACGCACGCACGCACGCACGCACGCACGCACGCACGCACGCACGCACACGCACACACACACTTCTTTTCGCAAAAAGCTGGCTGTATCCACCCCTGTCACAGGCGTTTAAACTCCCGTCGTTTAACCCATCTAACTTACTCACGCATTTGCAGTTTCCTACTTTCGCGTATGTTGTATTACCATAACTGTTCTTTCCAGGACCTTCGATCTTCAGTCACAAGATATCAGTATGGTGCGGCCCTTCACGACCGACTCTTCAGAGCACTGGATCAGCTATGACAATTCACTTCCACACATATTCGTCACCACCCAAAAGAGGCTTCAAGATGGCATATTTTGAAACGAATGGTATTTCTGTGTTTTTGTAAATAATCCCCTTCCCCAGTTGTCAAATGCATAAAATGTCTTTAACCATACATAACAGTGCGCACAGAGACGTAACGAGTAGAGGGTTGAGTCACCGCGTTTTATTAACAGAGCTACATGCCTGTCTCGAGAAAACATCCAACGTCAGAGTTTCGAATTCCAAAATCCACGTTGTTGATAAATACAAATGTATGTCCTCACTACAAGCGTGCTCGTTGGATCGTCCAAAGTTATTCTGCTTCGACTTTTATCATAACACGCTGACAAGCATTCCTATTACCAAAGTAGCTGTCATAATGTATTGCCTCTAAATATATCTAATGCATCTTTTCAGAACCATACCATTGTGGGGGATCACTGAATATTACTACTACTGATTATACAACCTTGACATCACCTCATTATCCTGGGCCATACCCAAAGTAAGAACATAATATTTATTAAAAACGTCGTGAAAAGTAGACCCCGACAGGAAACGTTGATTATTGGAAAGCTGAACTTATTCCTCTTGTCGGAATTTTGCGGGAAAGTTCTGAATTTGCATGCAAAAATATAGGTAGATGCAGTCCTGGGGGAAACAGTACAATCGAGGAAAATACCTTTTATTGATTCAGGAAAGTAGGAATATAAACAAAAACGAAACAAAAGAAATTAATTGGTTTTCAAACAGCAAACAATGCATGTGCAAGTTTACTTCTGTTACATATTAGTCAGGACTTTTAGAACGAATTAAAAGATAGAGACATTCCATATACCCTTGACTGTATATGTATCGGAACTCTTGTTTTCTAGTCGTTTCTTGTCATTTAATGTCATTTCGTTATGCATCATGACAATAAGTTTTGTCTCGTTAAACCGACACTACGAGCCGGAATATGTACATCTACTCACCTAAGTTGTCAACAGTAACGTACAGGTCTGTTTTGATTGTCATTTCAGCGGCCAGGATTGCACGTGGATCATTTATGCACCATCTAACACGAATATTGAAGCCCAAATCCATGATTCAGTTATTGAAGCTGGATATCAATGCACTTCCGATTATCTAGAAATATACGATGGTAATTATTATTATTATGATTTATAACAATTGTATGCAATGACATTGTCTTTTACCAATACCAGGGTGTTAGGGTAGCCTTGTGAGTACAACATGTGAAGTCCATTTCTAGTGTCCCCCGCTGTGATATTGATAGAGTAATGCTAAAGGAGGCGTAACGCCAACCCCATTGCCTCACTGTTTCTGTGGCTGTACCTATACCCCAATCTATAAACCTCTAATAGATAAGGCGCCGAAGACCCGGGTTCGAATCCCCACATGGGTATAATGTGTGAAGCCCATTTCTGGTGTCCCCCGCCGTGATGTTGCTGGAATATTGCTAAAAGCGGCGTAAAACCAAACTCAGTCACTCAGTCAGTCTTATAGATAAGACAAGGTATTAACACCATGTGCTACAGTATTTGGGGTAGCAAATTACACGAGGGTGCATCTTTTTCGGTGTTCCAGCTGCACCCAGATCAGCGGCCTTATCCGAGATTCGCCCGTTTAGTTTTTCCTTGGATACTTAGCACTGTAGTCGTGCTCATAGGTTCACCATCATTACGCGCACGCCGTATAATTTGGACTGATCATCATGCAGTATCCAAAGCTCGGTGATATTCACTCACCGCTAAAATATGTACAGTGGTTATATCCATATGACTGGTATAGTAAATACCTGATTTGTGGTAACACGTTTTGTGCCAAGGCATGATGTCCAGTGTATCAAGTGCCGGGAGCTTCTGTGGGAATGACGACACTGACTACATTAGTTCCGGTCACATCATCACCGTCAGGTTTCATTCTGACTCAGGAACCAGATACAAAGGATTTCAAATGTATCTCAAGGCGGGACACTTTAGAGGTACGAAACATCTATTGGCCATTCCACCACTGGACAAAACTGATCTAGCATATAACTTCTGTATCACTTATAACTTATCTTGGTTCTCTCTAGTGTGTGCATATACTCAATTGCAAAAGGTGAAAGCATGTTTTTGTTTATCACAATATGATTTTTGGAAGCACGCACTCAAGACACCTACCTTTACACAAAATGTCTTGCGATCTTTGAAACGGATTCAGCTATTTTCGTGATATATTTTTTTTTATGTTAACAGTTAAAAAAAATTAAAATGTATACATGAATCAAAATTGTCTGGTCTCTCTCGAGCTCCGGCATCAAGCTGGCCATCGCATTATACAATTTTATTAAAAGACCTCTAAGACTGGCATCAAAGCTAACACACTCATTCACTCGACATGTGGTTCGTTGGTGTTACAAAATGTGAAAATGTATAATCATCAAAGTCACTCACTTAAGTTCACATCGTTTACAGTTTCTGAGACAACGGAGCTTTCAGCTTCCTTCGGCAACGAGTACATATACTCTCCAAATTACCCATTTAATTACCCGAGGTGAGTATTCATAGTCGGATTCCTTTTCACTACTAATACCGACTAAACCATGCCAAAACATGACGGAAGAAAATCAGTATTTAGTCATTTTTCTCTGAAGAATCATAAGATGTAGGTGTGGCTAAATATGACTTATGTACTAAAATTGACACAATGCTGAAAAGAAAAAAATTAGTAAAAGTTCTTAAAGTGTCATGGCGTCAGAGGGTAGAACATGCCAAAACTTAATAGTTTATAATTTGTTAAAGATTAACGTCTACGTTCACTGTTTTGACAGATGGCACAACAACGATATATGCACGTTCTATATTCCAGTAACGCTGATGTCAGCTGGAAGATTACCGCGGATGAAGACAGAAGGGTTACAATCAGCGTTACACAATCAGGACTCGAAAAATCGCATGGTTGCATTAAGGACTATATCGAAGCGTTTGATGGTAAGAGGACGACCTTCATTAGGCGTGTGTTAATGTTTTTAATAGTCTGACGAATAATCACTTGTATATCTTTAAGCCAATTCTTGAAGTTGATGTTTCTATACCTCACCCTCCTTCACACATCAAACGGTCGAGGTGCATCGGTGACATCGAAAATGGGTCCACTATAGTCTTCGTTTTGCAAAGAGTGTGTAAGGTTAAATGGCGGATGTGTGTATTCATTCCATGATTAACAGGTTTCCCTATTGTCCAGTCGTGAGGTTATCATCTAAATGACTCTAACGCAACGAATGACGCCAAGGTCATCTTTTGCATTTGTTTGAAGAAAACATTAAATTTATTTATATATGCATTGCTTTAAAGGACCTGACTTGAATGCCCCGTCACTTGGTCGCTGGTGTGGAAAAAGTGAACCTCTCAAAACCAGCTCGGGTCCTGTTATGTTCCTGAAATTCAAGTCCGATTCATCTGGTGTTGATCGTGGGTTCAAGGTGGCGTATTCGTCGGAATTCAATTTTAAATCCAGTGGTAAGTATCACACACGTGGAACATATAACTTGCAGCCCCATTGTCCTTGTTATCAACTTTTAAGAACTTTGAGACGGACCATTACACGAATGAATAAGTGAATAAGTATGGAAACATGTGTGGAAATCTATAGCCACATGAAACATATGGTGTCAGGGTTGGGTGAGGTGGACCAGGTGATTTATTAACATAAACATCGTGCCTGCGTACATTTCAAATACACTGAGTGACTCACATTTACACATTTAGATCTTAGAGCAGGAATGTGTGGCCAAGATAAACTGTATCATCAATTTCAGTTTGTACCATCACAACCACGTTTAAGAAAACGTTTGTTTAGTCTGTTAACAATATGTTGCCATTGGCGGAAACAGGGAAATGACTAATATCTTATCAAGATGTCGGTGATACTGAAGGTACGGAATGTACAGATATACATGTTTGTTTAGGCAAGTAGGTGAGTAGCGTCTCCTATTCAAACATGGTTCATACTCATGGATAAAAATCCACAATGTCTTGCCTTTATACATTTAAGTGTAATAATATGCGGTAACTGCATATCTAAAGGTGCGAAATTGTTTACTGCTATTAAGGGTAATATTTCAACCGTTTGCCCACATAATGAAACCGCGGCTGTGGTTCAGGCAAACCCAAATTATACTTCGTTATTATGAGATTTTCACCCACATTTGGAAGGGGTGGGTTGGGAAGTACCCTAATTAGTACATGAACCTGACAACGTATTCACTAGTATTGACTAATGTCTAAGATGTTTACCTGGTGTTTATTTGGTGTTTTAACCATTGTTGGGGTGCGATTTGTAGCACGTATCTGATGACACTCATGGTATTACTTATTGATCCGTATGCATCTGCAAACACATTACACGATACACAGCCACAAAGATTTCATCCTACTTTATGAAAATAATTGGATATTGGATGGACAGAAATGGTACAGGAAGTAGACACAAACATTTGCAATGCATGGGTCCATAGGTTTATGTTTGTGTGTACAAGTAAGTATGTGATAATTTTCAACAATAACCCTTCAGGAGAGGTTAGAACCTTTTAGAAACACGGCCAATTCTCAATAAAACCTGTTTACCTGAATTTTTGGTGTAGCAATATACAGGGACTTCATATGTAATGGTGAGAAAACTGTTCGAATGCAGACATGGTGATTATTTTCTTAGTCGTTGTATGACCCCAGTGCAACTACGGCTGTGAGCCAAGCTAAACGTATACTATGGTGTCTGAGAATTTGTTGTAAATATATAACTCGTGAAACCAAGCATTACGTCTTAGCTGACTTGGTACACGAATCCAGAATTAACGAGTATTATCTAATGTTTGTGTATCGTCAGTTTTTACAGATTCTCATGTTGGAGCCATTGTTGGGGGGTTCGATTGGTGGCGCGGCTTGTCTGCTACTCATAATAAGTGTAATCGGCATATGTATCTACAAACACGGCCAACGCACCACTGCCACCAACATCCCAGTGCATTATGCTGCAAGCCAGGTACCTGTGATCAACAACTTTGGCCAAGCACCGATCACCAACACAATGCCCCCAACTGGACCGCCTACCAACGAACCGGCAGCTCAGGGTGTTGCCATACCTTCCTCAGGGTACGTCAATGCGAAAGAATTACCCACCAAACTTTGAAGTTTGATATCAGGAGTATGATATCATCATTCTCTAGTGAATACACTACGCATCAATCCGTTGCCATAATTTGGTCGTGAGGCCAATTGGAATCGCATCTAATAGACGTCCAGTGAACTGATTCAGCCATAGGAAATGCTGAATGGAAATCTGCACACACATCCATTGAGTTTGCGTTATCCATGTGCGTAGTGTAATACATCATGCTTTGTCCACAACTATAAACGTTAAATGATATATACGTTTGATCAGAGTTGAACAGCTTCTGACATCAGGATATTATGACGTAACTAATAAAATGTATATAATTAGAGGATGATGAACCTTCTGTCAGTTAAGCACCCTAAAATAGACAACCGATGATAGTATACGGTATGATGTGATTTATATTGATCTGCTTGGGTTAATTCACGAAAAATAAAATATTTTCAGCGGCAGTTATATATAGTTTGAACCGAAATATGTGCAAGTGTTTTATGTTTTCCGTGATGTCTTTATGCTTTGTACAGAAATATATAATGTGAGTATGTAGTGATCACGTGAACGTATTTGTCAGATCTCTCATTAAGAGGAATATTTATTTATATTTGACGTATGATGTATGTACTAGATTGGAAGTGATAATAAATAATCTTTCTTCGTCTTTGGATTTTGTGTTAAATATTTTACTATATAACATTCCAATAAAACCACTCGTGAAGTCGTGTTAATTTCACCAAGCTTGTTTTATGTAAAGTATGAGAGAATTATTTATTGTACTTTTTGTATTATTCGATGAATCAACAGGACTGACGTTAACAGATATGAAAGTGCTTTGTGAATCACCTATTAACAATGGCAACTGATAACGTAATCTTGACACATGTCTTTTTGAATGCAAGATAAGGGGCGCCTGAGCATGACCTACCGTCTGTTGTTCAGTCAGTATACGTCGTGCCGAGGTAACTACCCACGATTTGTACACCACACACCCGGCTGGACATATCTTGGTGAAATGGTGGCAGGCGCGGGGTGGGTAGATGGTGGTGGTGGTGGGTGTTTAGATCAGGGTTGCGTTTTTGCGGCTATAACCAGAACGTACTGAAACAAGGGCGTTCTGGGTATTTTGATAGCATGGGGATTTCAAATCCTCAATTTACATTTGTTCATTTTGAGTCGTTGATGCTTTCTCAACATTTGATTGCATTTCGCACCATTGGAAACATAATGGAGGTAATACTGGTACATGCAAATTGTAAAATTCTTTTCATTTGCACTGTAGACAGACATCAAATGGGCAAATACATAAACAGTAATTTTGTCACGTCAAAGTTCTGGTGACTATTATATCGAGATTATTCATAAATAATAAGAGACACTGGTATGCTAATAAAATAAAACATGATAATAATTTTTAAAAAAGCATTCACCGTATCGGACGGTTATATAAAATAATTTATACACTTTATAACCTAACTGAAAAGACTATCAAATCTCACTCGAGTTAAAATGGAGCTTTATTTCGGAATTACGTTCAGTCTGCCTTAGTGACACAGCAGGATCGTGAAGATCCCCTGAAAAAAATCCTAAAGGGATTTTGTATTTTCATGACACATAATATGACGTTCGTTGCATTTTGTGTACTACGCCATAGATAAAACTTTGTATTTTGACTCGATGGGGTTCAACATAGCTTTTATCACGTTCTATCAATATGGTAGTGAAACAAGCCTTAGGCATGTGCCATTTTGGTGAAACCTACAAGCACGGTCATGGTACTGACAAACCGAGAAACATAATGAGGTCTAACTGGGATTCGAACCCATGATCAGACGTTTCTTCACAAGGGAATCGGGGCGGTGGGGTAGCCGAAAACCAGGGTTGGATCCCCCATATGGGCACAATGTGTGAAGCCGATTTCTGATGACCCCTGCCGTGATGTTGCTGGAATATTGCAAAAGTGGCGTAAAACTACACTCACTCACTCACAAGGGAATCTTCTGTGCACGGCGATTTGGGGACGGGAAATATCGCCATATTGTTTTGACAGACAGTGTATACAAAATGTTGCTATGACTTTGAGGTAAAATGAACCTATTGTCTTGTGGAATTAATTACTCAGTGATAAATATACACCATCCTAAGACTATGCAATTGCAACGTTGTTCGCCTTGACGAGCAATAACTGTCGATATTACAAATAGAGAAGAATCACAAAATGACTGATAATGGTGGGCCGAAACACCGTTTCTGTTTTCAATTTACGAATTGCTCAAACGACCACAACAAACGCACTGCCGGTTGATAACGTCTCGCTGTCATTTGTGACAATACCACACAGAAGAATTGACTCAAATGTTCGCACTATACATGTTGACATTGACACCGTCTTGCCAGGGTCCATCTTTCAGAACATTTGGCCAAAATAATATACAGATTACTCTGTTGATTTAATACCGCCATGATCAACCTTTTACCTCATGTTTGATAACTGGAATTGGTACTGTCAGGGTTGCATCTTACTTCTGAACAGCCAGATTCATTAGCAACGGACAGAGGTTAATATCGTTACCATACCGAGAATTCAAAACAACACAGACAAGCGTTCTCAGACAGCGTTCTGTCAATATTGCAGACCCCAGGCAATGGGTATATTGAAAAGAGCTTCTACAGAATCCAGTGGTGGTTGGGTAGCCTTATGGTGAAAGTGGTAAAACTCACGCTGAAGACCCAGGAATCGATCCCCAATTGGGAACAATGTGTGAGACCATTATTGTTGGAATATTGCCAAAAGCCTTGCCGACAATAAAACCATACTCACTGACTTAGTACCCTGTTGTCACTCACTTACTACCATGCTACCATGCTTTCCAGTGACCAATTCTGAAAGAGTGGAAATACATTGAACGAACGGCAATATCCTTATTGGGTCCACAAAACTCACATTGTAAAACACCGTTGTATTGGGTTTTTATATGGCGAAATTACTCGAAGTTGTCTCGAACTTGACCCCAGCGTAGTCCTTGTTGAGTCATCCCTTTGCAGTCATGTCAAACCGCTGATAACCAAAAGTATTTTCGTAGGTCCCATTTATGTTATTGAAGTAGAAGGTTGGTTATATGTCATCGTATTCGAGGAATTGACTAATTGCATGACACCTTACTGAAGATATAGGCTTACTGACAGTGATCGTACACAGAGTATAGGCTGATTACGTGTCATGGTAACCAAGGGATAGGCTGAGTGCACGTCATCGTAGTCAAGCGTAGGCTGATGACGTGTCAACGTACTCAAGGGAAAGGCTGATTGCATGTCAAGGTACTCAGAGGGAGTTGGGGGTTGTTACCAACTAGCAGTCCAGAGCTCCAGATAAGATTTAGCTCATGTGGGTACTGTACCCACTGTATTTTTTCGGAGTGGGTATTATGAATGTTGAGTGGGTATTTCATTTTCCGTTGCTTTCAAATATGTGCGTATTTCAGTCATATTACTCACCTAAGTATTATGTCATTGAGCAAGTTTACTAAGCAGGTATGTTCTGCCTTATGTCATACCTAATCAAAACCAAGTTAAATATAATGGAAATGATTTCATAAAAATCACTCATCCCATACTGACAGTACAACACTTGTCCTATAAAACAGTACAACTTGGTAGCAATCGATGTCTTTTCATTACGCAACCGATTTTTATAAATATATTCCGTAGGCATTTGTTTTAAACTTTTGCGTATCTAACATTTTAAATGCGTAAATGATACGCAACAATTATTTTTCAGTGCGTAATTGAAAAATTTTCTAAGCGTATTTTACCCGGATACGCAGCTTATCTGGTCCTCTGGACTAGCATTTAATTTGCTCGTTTGTTTGGCCCTGCTTCAGATATTTACTGACTGTCTTCATATAGCTGATCTCCAGTAACCCATGCTTGTCGTAACAGGCGACTAACGGGATCGGGTGGCCAGGCTCACTGGCTTGGTTGACAGATGTCGTCGTATCCCAATTGCGTAAATTGATGCTCATGCTGTTGATCACGGGATTGTCTGGTCCAGACACCATTATTTACAGACCGACGAAGTATAGCTGGAATATTGTTGCGTGCGACGTAAACCTAAACTCACTTACTCACTCATATAGCTGATACATAGCTTTGACGTACACACAGTCATTGAAATCACTCTGTGCAAACTTCAGTAACATACATGTATGTGTACGCGCGCGAGGGTGCGTGCGTATGCGTGTGTGTGTGTGTGTATCCGTATACTGTATTAGATCAGCATGTAATCATGAAACATCTATTGCTGGTGACGTTTCATATTTCAGCTGATCAATATCTTGGTCAATCCCGCCGTTCAGACCATAATGCCGGGTACCAAAGTTCGAATAAGTCACTGTTAGCCCGGTTTACCACCACTTGTAGCAAGGTTCCATGCTTCCATATATTGCACGAAAAAGTATTTGGTTGACATCAACATTTCTAACCTTCTATTTCACGTGTAGATTCTAATTTAGTACTGTAACAGTAAAGAGTTGTTGTCAGGATCTCAGTTGCTTGAATGTAACTGTGTAACATCACATAGATCCACAGAAGTGTCCAAATAATGTATAATCTTTGCACATACATTTCAGCGTTAAATCCATTCATCCATTATCAGAATACAATGCTTGTTTGGATACATTTGATATCTTACTTTATGATACTTTGTCTTATAACAGATCTTGAAAAAGATAAGATAAAGCATGAAATAATAATGACGTAGATGTAAGATAACGTAGATATCTACTTCATATTGTCTATATGTGAGTGAGTGAGTGAATGGGTGAGTTAAGATTTTACGTCACATCGGCAATTTTTCGGCCATATAGTGACGAGAAACATTTGGTTTAACTATGAGAAATATCTGTCTCAAAGGACAGTAAAACATTAGAAAGTTATCACAATTTGAATCTAAAAACTTACCATTTCAATTGATAAAATACTATATTCAACACAAAGATCAACATTACATGTAATACCAATACAATACGAGCTATATACCACCAGTCACAAAAGCCACCACCTTACTGGGGATCATGGGGACTTACAGTACTTTCGCTTCCTCATATTGTCTATAGACATGCGAGCTAACGTTCCATTATACATTATAGTTAACTGTAATCGTACTATATTTCAACATGGTGTCCTCGACAAATTACCCAGTGGGCGAGATGTTAGGAACGTTTATCTACCAGATAGATTGCCAGTGTTGTTGACCTCGATACGGGTGTTACTAAGGCGTGATTCACGTTTTTTCTCCAATATCAAGCTACTAAGTCATTGCACAAGATACGACTGTTCATGTGATTTTCCATATATCCTTCACGAACAGATTAGTGTACACGGTGTGAGATAAATTGGTATGTAACATTGACGCATTATGTTATTGCATAATGAAAAAATGCGTAACGTTCTGTGCATGGTGTGTTTGGTTTTTGCTCAGGTGCTTAATACATGTTGACTGTGTTGATTTTTCCATCACAATGGATAAATACTTCAGTGTTAAAACGGTCAAAGATCTTTTAGTAATGTAAATTATCATTTTATTATTGAGTTTTCAAAAGAAATAGAATTGTTGCATAAATTTTGAAACATGTTAAGTTACTATCGTCGTTGAAGCAGGATGACTATAGATGAAACATTACCAACACGTATATGATGTTTTATCAGTCGCATGACAATTAGTGACGTAACTACCTTCTTTTATGAAATGAGTTTAAAGTTTCAAGGAAAACACGTGAAAAACACAATAAGTGACAAAACGTATGTCCTATGCAATTTCCTATTGATCTATGGCATACGTGCAACACGTTTGGGCCGCTATGATATGGCGTCCAATACAAGCACACGCAGCTGTGGAGCGTGAAGCTAATAACGTTCATATTTATTTTTATTATTTATGTGTATGTATACGTATGTCGTTGTATGTAAATATCCGTTTGAAAATGTACATTGTGCCTACATCATCCTAAAACAATGCAATTACAAGGACACATGAGCAAATATATAATATAATATAATGAATGTGTAGACATGTTAACATTTACGCTATGAATGAGTAAGACAAGCATGTCAGTTTTATAATCATTTAACAGTTATGTTACACTACTTATCTTAATGGGGCGGTGGGGTAGCCAAGTGGGTAAAGTGTTGGCTCGTCACGCCGAAGACCCGGGTTCGATTCCCCACATGGGCACAATGTGTTAAGCCCATTTCTGGTGTCCCCCGCCGTGATGTTGCTGGAATATTGCTTAAGGCGGCGTAAATCCAAACTCGCTCACTAATCTTAATCGGATCATAGCTCAAGTCCGCTACTTGTTGAAACAGTTGTGTTTTAATTTGCACGTGTATCCGACATGTATCACCGGTGAGGCATATGCCGTCTGTTTGCAAACACCGAGTATCCTCACTGTTTCAAAGTCATTAATAACACATGCCTATGATATACTTGGAATCTCATGGTAGAGACGTTTAAATTTTTTTTGAAAGAGTTGTATCACTTATATTTTTCATCACCATGTAACTGTCGAGTCACACTATATTGACAAACAAATGTATAAGAGAGACAGGGTTATTTGCAAAGGTTTCCTTATGCCTATAACGTTTAAATTGTTTTAGTAACTTGGAATGCGTCATAACCATGATCAATGCAGATAGGAGAGGCATTTTGAAACTGAATATCGGCGACCTGGATTTCGATAGCTACCACTCGCACTGCGATAATGACTCGGTTACTATTTATCCTGGTACAGTTACTGACCTCACAAAAATCAATGCTACACGACCTCTGCGTGGTCTACTCATAGTTAGTGGCACGCACGTTTCTCTACTACCCAGCGCACAGTTATTAATCATGCTACGATGTCCTGGCAACAGAAAAATGTAAATGACGACTGCGATGCAGATAAATGGTCTATAAACAAACCTTAAGCTTTTGTATGTCATTGAAAAAAGCTATTTTAGATGGAGTTCTGTCCTATTAAAAAGTAATCGAGATAAATTGTACCATTCGTAAGTACTCAGCTGAATGTACAGCTATATATTCGTAAATCGTCATTATCATTATTATTCATCCTCAGTTAATAGATATAATGACAATTATGTTTGCCTGTCGGTACAAGCGTTCTTAGAATAGCTTGATGATAATGGGGTCACGGTGTGAAGGTCGATGTGAGTCGTTCGAATCACTGCAACTCTTCTTATCAATTATGATCAATTGTCATTCTACCATGGCTACGTGAAATACTCGAATTTGATTGGACAATCAATAAAATTAGACGCTATCAATTAGGATTGAAAATGCGTCTGATTTCACCACCGCTTCACTGCGCACGTATTCTCACGTTACGCGTTCGGTTTCAAATGAAATTTAGAGACTACCAATTCGGTGTAACATTCATCTAGTCTCCAAACACAGCACGATTATCTCCTAAATTATCTCCGTGTTCATTGGTGGCAAGGAGGTTCTTAATAAACGTTGACTGTAAAATAACATCAAATAACTGAAATACTGTTCAAAGGTTGAGTTTAACTAATTCGATTACTCAATGCCATTTAGAAAGTGGTCAAATGCAACATATGTAGTTATATTTGGGATAACACTTTCTTATGATGTCTTTCAGTGGCATTTAGAAGTTGTACATTGATGTCCAAGATATTTTTATGGATTAGTGAGAGAGAATTAAAAGAAGTTTAATCCATAAAATATCTTGGACAACACTTTCTTAGTAAAGTACAAATTCTAGTACTTATTTTGGGTTGAGTCCCATCCGGGATTCGAACCCACACCCTCAGAGTCAGGCATCTAATCGCCTAACCCGCTCAGGAACCGCGACTTCCACAAAAATGGAAGTCGGACAACTGGTAGTCTAGACTGTGGACTTTGTGTACCCCTCTGATAAGTGAAAATTCGCACGGCTCCCACGGCCGAAAGCTGTGATTACATAATGCCACTAAGAAAGTGTTATCCCAAATATAACATATGTTGCATTTGACCACTTTCTAAATGGCATTGTGTAATCATAGCTTTCGGGTACTTTGTGTACCCCTCTGATAAGTGTAAATTGGCACGGCTCCCACGACCGAAAGCTATGATTACACAATGCCACTAAGAAAGTGTTATCCCAAATATAACATATAATGCATTTGACCACTTTCTAAGTGACATACGCTACTTTCTACAAACCTGCCATGTACATGAGTACAATGTGTGAAGTCCATTTCTCCGCCGTGATAATGCTGGAATATTTGCTAAAAGCGGCGTAAAACTAAACTCACTCACTCAGTACTCAGTACAAATCAGTTTATATTGGAGTAGATCAATTTAAGTGATTATGTTCTTATTACAGTAACTCAAAGCAAACACTGTGTTATGCTGGTCACTTGATCCTAAAGAACAGGGGGACTATCTAATTAGGGCTTGGGTCTCGTCACTATATGGCTGAAATATTGCCGGTGTGACGTTAAATGTTAACTCACTCACTCTAATTAGGGGAGTGGTGGCCATGGTTTGGGCTGATTAGGACTGATTGGACTGATATGTTATTACTGATGGGGTGAGCCTTCTCCACCCTCATTCAAGTTTCTGCCAAATGGGGTGTCTGACAAATGGGGTAGCACCCTTACCGCGGTGTCGCTGTAAACACATTGAGTTCAGCATACACATTTAGTTAATGTTAAATATGTCCCGATTTATCAATAGTGCTAATGTCATTTCAAAGTTTCCTTGTCCATCAGGTCGACAAGATAACATATGACATTAGTGAGTGAGTGAGTGAGTTAATATTTAACGTCACATCGGCAATATCTCAGCCATATCGTATGACATTAGTATTTAACGAGCTTGTCGTAACTAGTTAATAAAATGAAACTTTATTGCACTCAAATAAAACAAAACCTCAAGACGAAAATATCAGAGTGCAAAGTAAACTTATGCATACTGAGATAGAATGTGCGATTTCAAATGACGCATCAAATAATATGATGTTTATCTCATCTGTTCACCTTTACCACGATTGGGAATATTACTTTTATCTGGTCACTGGATAAAATAAATTACAAACATGATGGTTATTGACAGAGACTAAACAAATACCCTCTGTATTATCGTAAATAATGGCAAAATAAATCATTAAGCCTGTTTATGCAACTAAATCCACAAAATATTGCATACATCCATTAGGCCTATACGTGACAAAAGCGGACAATATGATTGAATCAATCACTCAAAGATAAACGAAAAGAGGCTCTACGTATACGTTATTGAATTGTTGAAGTTCGAGATACTAAGCTTGTTACTGTATGTTGGTTGAGTGTGTATCTTTGACGGAACACTGTGTCCGTTTTAAGACATTGTCAATATGCGAGTCGCCAAAACGCCGATAACATGCAGCAACAGGACGCAATTGATAACGTATCGCCAACTTGACATTAGTACCGTCATTACAGATGAGGACAAATCGCCTTCACGCTTAGAACCTGTGTTTGTTGCATGTAGATGTAGCTGGAGTTGGGATTTGAACAAATGTTGGGGATATACAAAACGGTAACCATCCTTCTCGGTACCCTGCCACCAATACTTGCCTCAAATACAGGTAATTTTGCACGTTTCTACATGTAGATATTGCCAATGACTGACATTTAATTTACACTGACGACGTGATTGTTCTGTTTGTCTGTTGATAACTCCATCATTTGAGCCATACGACGTGCTGTCGACGTCACGCAGCTACGTACCAGATTCGTTCATGTCTATGGCTCACGTCTGTCATTTTACCAGCATGCTAAAATTCCTTCGCTCTAGTATCTACACGTCCGCATTCCCTTGGACTGGCAACGATATGAGATTATATATCAGGCCTTATATACTGAACAGCTGAACTTATTACTGCGGACAAACATACAATGCAAGTGACATTTGGGTAGTTACGTTTCGTCATGTATGTTCCCGGTTCAAATTCCCTAAGCAACATAGTATTGTAAATGTTTGAGTGTACATAATTCACTCTGGTCACTGCCACGCCTGAAACGTCGCATTTGCTGGCAGAAATGAATAACTGATATTATATTTTCTGCAAAATAAACAAACTTCAGCTTCTCAAATGTACTTCATTTCGAACCACAGATGTAAGATATAAGTGTACTATCAACTTTGGGAAACAAATTGATACAGTGAGAACGTAGCTTTCTTGTATAATACACTCGACAACCCAATGTCTTTATAACTTATCATATCGCTGTTGTAATACCTTTTCAGGTACAAGTATGAAGTGAAATGTAGTTTCTATGGTATTCATACAATCAATCTACCTATAGTTCCAAACTATTGCCTTTATAGAATGCGGCGGAATTCTCACAGCAACATCAGAACTGACAAACCTCACCTTCCCGGATCAACCTCGCTCATTCGGAAAGTAAGTACGTGGCATTGCTCTACTCGAACTCTTTATGGAATCAGTAGTTATATTTTAACTTCAAATATTCTGTTTAAACGTTTCCAACTGTACACTTGCGACGACGAAGTAAGCTTTGAGACGAAATACGTAGACTGGCGCACGTTGTCCAAATAATCCCTTGTGTCTAAAAGGGAAACTTGCTTATGATATTTTATAATATTTGCATTTATATCATAAACAAAGAGATGAACGCGTCCATTATTCCATGCAATACTCAACATTAATAACATGTATTGATCTTGTTTTCAGGCTTTTCTGGTGCTCGTTGATCATTACAGCTGAAAATGAAAACGACACAGTTCAACTGACATCTCGATATTTCAATCGTTACGGATATATCGCAGGCAATGAGTACCTTGAAGTGTATAACGGTAACACCAGTGACGGTACGTACCTACATACATACATATTCCTATCATGTACAACATTATGCCCAATCGTATCATATATCTACACCACTGAAATCCCTTTAAAACACTGTGAGAATTTCAGGATGTGGCATGTCTCATAACATCAACATTGTGTTATCTGTTCCACACTAATTTACGGTTGGAAAAACACTTAGCGGGGTCGTTAAACTCCCACATGCAGACGTTATTTCCCCCAGTTGATAAAAAGTGATCATGATGTATAAACAAATGAAAAATTACAAAGACAGGTCGAGAACTTCCTAATTAACATGCCTTTGAATGTATTGGTCTGTGTCGGATGTCGCCGATGAAGCACGATACACATACCTTTTGGAGAGCGCCTGGTGTCATGACAACTCAATAGTAAGTCATAAAGACAAGGTTACGTGGACAGTGGTAGCATTATGCTATGCAATCCGTTCGACTTTCAGGAACTGTCTGTCCGATGCTAGTCAATTTCCCACTTGTCTGATCCAACTCCATTATTTACAGACCGCTGTCATATAACGAGGATATTGAATAGCAATGACTGAAACTGTTACATATTAGATATCAAATTACATTCATATTTGGATGTATGTAATGGACAATGAAATATTTACGTGCTTTAGGTTGTTTATGCAAATGTATGTCTGTATGTATTTTGCTGTCTGATTACTAATAGTAAATCACCTTTTATTAAATAACAATACATATATAAATAACTAAATGACTAACGTTTAACTTTTGAATCATTTTATCTTTCAGCGGATCAGTATCTTGGGATTTCCTATTTAAAGCAGACAGTGAACTACCAAAGTTCGACGAATTCGCTGTTCATAAAGTTCTACACAACTAATAATAACGAAAACTGGGATGTCTTCATGCTACAATATATTGCACGAAATGGTATTTGACTTACACCTACAATTCCTGCTACATGTACCCATATGTATATCTTAATCCTCGGTAAAATATTGTTAACTCAATTCGTGTATAGGCATTTTGAATTGATGCACATAAGGAAGAGAATTTAAGAATGTCAACTTCTATGTCACGAGGAACATGCTTACATGTACTGCTTCATCAGGTGATTGAATGGAAGAATGCAGAGAGTGAGTGAGTGAGGTGGATTGTACACTGCTTTTCAAAATGTCTTCCAGTAATATCCCCGTGGTGAACCCAAGAAACAGGCTTCACACATACTGGGAATCAAAATCAATTTTTATCGTGATGAGCCAAAGCCTTTACCACACGGCTATTCAAAGTGGTACGTGTTTTGAACACGTGTTTTGAACATTTTTGACAAGAACTGAATTGATTTGATTTATCGTCATACATAACATCTGCTCACAGAACAAGACATGCATGTGACATGGACTGTGATGATACAGTGTACAAAGAATAGGTGATTTACTGCATTTATATGAATGACCACGAACTGTTTTGATTTTGTGATTTTATTGATTTTATTGGACTGTGATGTCGACAGAATGAAACAATGTCAGAATAACCAAACTATATATATTTTTCACATCGATACAGCTGACGACTGCAATAATACGTATGTGGTGTATTACACACCCATGTTCATTCTGTCACCTGGATACCCCGACGCTTATCAGAGGTATGTAAATGTTATACCTACTAATCGTATACAGTGATATCTTGTTTATCTGGACACTGCCTTTCCGTGTTAAATAGTCCTGATTAAAGATGTTGGATTAACGGAAGCGTTGTGCTTGATGTTGTGTTTCTTATTTAAGATGTAAAAAGTAATCAACAAAGGTTTGGTCCAAAGTCCTTGAGTCCAGACAATTTTTAATAACACGGTTTTACTGTATCATAAAGATACCTGGCTATGAAATTCTCGCTACTCGTGGAAGAATATAAATGTGGTATTGGCTGACTACCATCTTGTAAAATCCGATGTCAATCGGTTGGTTGATGTTGCCGTGCCATTAACGTGATGATAAGATTTAAGTCACATGGTGAAATTTTGTAAGAAAAGTCTTGTAACTCGGGAAGTCACTCGCTTGTTACCAGCGGGGTGTATGCGATGTTGTGAGCTGCACGGTCGAGCACACGTACAACGTTGTACACATCCCCAGTGACACACGTACAGCGTGATATCTTACATGTTGTTCACCAATCGCGATTGAGGCATGGGAAGATATACAAGCTAGTTATATCAACGACTACCTAAGGTTACATCGACATATGTCACCAGTGGGACAACTGGATAACAAATGTACGTGACCCACCCCTATTAATACATTATCTAGGTATGTCTTATCCTCGAGTGCTTCTGTCCGAATTTTGATCATTAGAAAAATTATAGATTTATAGCCTTAGAACGTGGTCTTACATTATCATTTCGAAATACCAAATAGCAGTTGCTACGTTGCAAATATAATGACAATAGTTAGGCAATCCGAACAAGGGACATAAGAAACATACCTTAAACACTTGATTGTCTCCTGTGTTTATGTGTGCCAATCACATGCCAGATGTACCTGTATATGGCTTCAGGTACTGAATACATACATTTATGCAAATTGTTTGAATTTCGGCTGCTACCAATTCGGCCGGAGATGCTTACCATAATAACCTTTAATCTGGTGGCGTCACCGAATTCCAGGGGACATTCATATAATTAAAACAGCTGTTGACTTTTACATCATATGGAATCGTCTGAAGACGGGTTATTTTTATTCATAAAAGTCAACAGTTTGTTTAGAGGGTACGTTTAAACATAATAGAAAGGGCATATCAGAATCCGTCAAAGTTAACATGCTTGATATACCTGCACAACCGTAGGCTATTCAAGGAGGGTAAGCTAGTCTTATCCTGATAGGTCAGAGGGAACCAACCCCACTGCATCATCCAACGGATAAGCGCAGCATCAAATTAGTATTAGTTCTTGAGAGGACATTTATGATATCCGCAATTACGGTTTATCAGTCCAGAGTAAATACATTTAGGAGATAGATAAACTGTGTTTGGAAATCAGAGGTATATCACGAAATCATAATAGCTCTAAATTTGATTTAAAACCGAACGCGTAGCGTAGCATTCTACCATAACCGCGTTATTAAGATTATAAAGAGATACACACAGTGTTGGAAAATCAGAGGTATAATACCTGGTTATGTACCTCTGAATGACTTTAATTAACCAATCACAATCCAGTATGTACTGAAGTCATGGTAGAATTTCAATGTATATTACGTCTCGAGTGACTGACAGATGGCAAATAACCAAAGAAAGAAGTTGGTTTCTCGATAACAAGTGCATGTCAACTCTATTGTTGAAACAATGTTACATTATGACTGCAAAGTCATGAACAATGGACGTTGCTGTTTTTCAGCATTTGAGTGTATTTGTCAATATGAGTCGCGGTGCTATGGATTTGCAAACAATTATATTTGCAGTAATTATAGTAACTGCTTCTTTGCAATTACTGAAATTAATAGTTGCCAAGACTATATTTTGAATTGTTTCAGTAACCTGGAATGCTTTATAGTACTGCTACACTGGATAGAGCCGTCAATGCAACCACAACTAGAAGTGGACATCGTAAACTCTGACTTAGATGGAGAATACCCGCACTGCGATAATGCATCGGTTACTCTTTATCAAGGTATGTGACTAAAGTTCACACACATCCGTGACACAAACCCAAGGTGTGGTCTACACAGCGCGATACATTTTTCATTGCAACCAGGAATACCTTGAAAACACATTTTGACATATTCCTATGCTGCATAGTTGACTCGTCATGTTGTACTATGCCGTAGACGATATCTCAGAACTCAGACTATAACTAATGAAGTAGTACCGCTGTTCAATTGTGCTGAAGAGGAATCTAAGCATTGTGATTTTTTTATGAACAATACATATTCGAAACAATATTGGACATCAAAGATATATATTTACACACACACTCAAAAGTGAGTGAGTAAGTTCAATTTTACGCCGCACTCAGCAATATTCCAGCTATATGGCGGCGGTCTGTAAATAATCGAGTCTGGACCAGACAATCCAATGATCAACAATAGAAGCATCGATCTGCGCAGTTAGGAACCGATGACATGTGTCAACCAAGTCATCGAGCCTGACCACCCGATCCCGTTAGTCGCCTCTTACGACAAGCATGGGTTACTGAAGGCCAATATTCTAACCCGGACCTTCACGGGTACACATACTTAAGACACATCTTTGATGTACAATATTGTTTCGTAATAAATGGTTTCTTGTAGGTATGGAAATGGTTTTGCCGCTCTTTGTTGCACAGTTTCTGATGCACAGAATTTGGTATGTGAAGGAAAGTGAAGGCTAAACGCTATTCTACCAATATTAAATCGTCATCATGTTGATGTGTTGAACAGCCTGAAGTAAATATTATTATTCACATTATATACCGACAGTAGTAAAAAATGTGCATACTCTATCACAACACGTGTCTGTTGGTGTGGCATTTAAATGAGAATTGGTGTCTCGATGCCGGATGCTGTCCAGCTACTGAAATGTACCAAATGAAGTAACTTCATTTATCTATCTTCAATTTCTGAGGGTGGTCACGGCTATGTTTGCCTTTGAATGTTTACAATTGTGAAAAATTGCTTCCTGTCGTTCGATTCACATTTGCGGTTAAAAACCTTCGACCTTCTTTCCTATCATGTTGAGCCGACACCCCGTTCACATTTTACCGTTCATCCTTTACATTTCAAATTGTGAAATGAAATACACAATGCCATTTTAGAAAGTTTACTAAGAAAGTGTAATCCCAAATATAGCATATGTTTCATTTCAAAGTGGCTTTAAACCAAACACATTCACAGTTCAGGTTACGCCTGGGGGAATCTTCCATAGTTTTAATAGTTTACAAATTTTGTAATATAGCCCATAAAAATAAACAAAAAAGGTGCCTTACATTTGTGGAAAATTTATTCATGAACTAAGAGCTCAGAAGCGTTTAAACAGCGGTAAGAAATGTGAGCATCTAAATTTCCCGAAAACAATTAACTGTACAGTTAATTTCGAGGAATGATAAACTTTTCAACAACGTAAACTATAGTTTGTGAGGAGTATATATTTTCTGCATCTAGGTGGAACTGGACAGCAGATTGGACAGTTTTGTGGTGATTCTTCAACAACCCCAATTGGTCCGTACTACTCCAACGGATATGTAATGACAATGGTGTTCCAAACCAACGGTGACACAAGTAGTCAGAGCTTCCGAATCCGCGTTTCACACAGTTCACGGAGAGGTTGGTAAATATACCTCAATCACAAAAGTAAACATTACAAACAAAACTAAAACTCACTTCTTAACAGCAAAATATTTGCAATTTAGTTCATGAAAAGTGACACATCTTTGTATCTTTTTATATCGTATATCTTTCTGGCATAATGTGATTGAGTACGTCCATGTTTCAGTGATATATCCCAAATCAAGGGATTGTGGCTCTCAGTTCCTCAGTGCATCCATAAATAGACAGTTCCTACAGTCACCTGGATACCCTGTACGATATAAAGCGTATGTATGCTCCTTTTACCTGCATGCGTACATGTGTATCCTTTCGTTTCAAGAGTGCATGGATACATACTTGCACAAATAACGCATGACTTGTAGCAATCTCGAGTTTACAAAACACATCTGCACTATCAACAAATTAATTTTATAATAGTATAATAATATATATTTTCGCCGTAAAAGCACATACCTGCACATACATCTTCCAGTGTCGTATATGGGGTATAGACGTGGAAGTCAATGTGTTCATGTTCATGTCGATGGTGATCCTACTCAACTTAATTGTTGTTGAAGCAATGAAAACTGTCGGTGGACAATAACGGCTTCGCATCCTAACAAGACCGTGCGCATCGTCGTCATTGACTCGGATATATACACATCAGATGCAACATATATAACCTGCAAACACGACTATGCTTCGGCTTACGACGGCAAGTAATTCTGATATCTATTGCATTTTAAACCATTACTTGGTGGTAATGCCGAAATATGTTCAAAAACAAACACTTTCGAACGTTATGTAAATATATACGAATGAAAGGGTTACCATTCCTCGGTGATCAGACTGCCTATACATCTGTATAAGCGATTGATATTCCCATAATGTTTAAGTATATTCCATCCCAATCTCTTTGTCAAATCAGGGATTCGCAAACATTATGATATTAACATATGTACCTCTTAATTGTCAATCTCTGTCTTCATGCGTTCCTCTCATAGTAACTGGTCATGACAATGACCAATAATTATTCTTTTTACTCTAATATTTAAGTAATTATTCCTTCCAGGACCTTCGATCTTAAATGACACGATTGTTTCGTGGTGTGGCCCATCACTACCGACTCTGCAAAGCACTGGATCAGCTATAACCATTCAGTTCCACACAGAATCGTTTGATAAGCGGAAAGGCTTCAAGCTAGCATATTTTGAAACGGCTGGTATTATGTTTTTTTCATAATTATCAACATTAAAGTAGTCATAATAGATGAAGGAAACGTATTACCTGCGGTTATTTATGATAACAATACAGAACTTTAAGGCAAGTGAGTGGGTAAGTGAGTCTGGTTTTACGCCGCTTTTAGCAATATTCCAGCAACATCACGGCGGATGTAAGGCAAGAAACAACACTAGTGTAATGATATTTTGGGCATCATTATGGTAATGAAAACCAGCCTTTTGAATATCTACGTCAGTGCATAATGTTTGGGAAAGGAAATTGTATTTTTTTGGAAAAAGTAAAAAGTAAAAGGTGGAATTGGAAGAAACCTATTCTGACTCAGCCATCTGTTATCCAAAGTATGGCTATCCAATAGGAAATGTTTGCATGTGTTAACTCTGTCGAAACTCAGCACCCCTTTATGAAATCATCACGGAATTAGTTGTTCCCCAAAAGAAATAATTTACATTTGTATAGTCAACATATCAAATTATACCAATATCTCAGGGCAGTATGATAAAATCAATAAGGGAAAGACCTACCCAGACTGCATCACTAATCTGAATATTGCCTCTCACATTCGTGACACAATGAGATCTTATTAATGTGAACGAAGTAGTTTCATGAGTAGGATAGTAGAGTGGAGTAATATTATCTTAATTCTTCAATAGATCATCAGGGAGGTTTCCAGTATAACGAGGTCCGGTAAAACGAGATTTCACCGTATTGTTCATTGACGCAAAGACACTATGTCACTCATACCAACTGCTTGTCTAGATCCACATCAACTTACTTGATTCACTTACTGTCTTTCAGAACTACGCCAATGTGGCGGGACACTGAATATCAGTATTAATGAAAATGCAACATTGACATCGCCTAACTACCCTGGGCCATACCCAAAGTAAGAAAATATATAGACAAGACAGACGCCATATGATGCTGAACATATTTTAATTTGGAAAGGAACGTATTTTGTCTTTGTTTCAAGTTGTAAACACGAGTAAAACCACCTCTTCCCCAACAAAATCAGAGAAGCAGACTGTCTTCAGGCCAGGGCTTAATGTATGAAGGAATATGGGCAAAGTAACACGTCTCTTGGACCTTCTTGATTATACATCATAGCTACTGTGATGTTGTATGTATTATCATACATAATGCTACCACTACTATCAATCGTAGAGCAATGATGCTTTTGCATGAATTCATTGATGAACGTTTGTAAACATCCTTGCATTCTCTTAAAGTGTTATATTTTTAATGTGCGTTGAATATGGTTACAATGTAATAACAATTTCAGCAACCAGGATTGCAACTGGATCATATATGCGCCAACAACCATGATTATTGAAGCTAGAGTCTGGCATAAAATGTCTGAAACATGCACAGATTATCTGGAAATATACGAAGGTGATTATCATTGTGTCTGATAATAGCACGTCATATTGTTCCAATGTGTGAATTTGTATTTTAACACATGGGTGTACAAATGATAACATGATGTATAATAGAAGCATTTTCATTTTCCACATTCAAGGTTATACAACAGGTGGTTATAAAATTGATATTGCTGCAGGTCTACTGTAATTCATAATGCTTCGTTAGCCCGAGAAACGCTCGTGTGTTAAGATACGAGGCTCATCTGATAATGCTTCTGGTTTTGTATGGATCATATCCGTGCTTATTGGTGTCTCCATTATGACAAAAGTCTCCCACTGATATTTCGGGATGTTTAATCGGTAATAAGCAGACACAGTTCTTATATTTACATTTCGAAGCAGTGATAATGCTTATTCATGAACATATATGTTACGATATCATTCATTTGGTTGGTATTGTTCATCATTGATCTTTGTTAACCGTTTATGATCCAAGGCTTGAAATCCAGTTCATCAAGCTCCGGGAAATTGTGTGGGCATGGGTACCTCAACTACCTTAGTAACGGCCACATCATCACCGTCAGGTTCCACTCTGACACATATTCCCGAAGTCAAGGATTTCAAATGCTTGTCAAGGCGGTACACTTAAGAGGTAATGTGTAATCTCAATTCTAAATGCTGGAAACATTTTATCTATATTTGACAAAGTTTAAAATTGGTAATGATGATGTTACAACAGTATCTAATTAGGAGATAATCCTATTGTGTTTACATTCTGGAAGTGATTATAGTTGGTTGAACGCTGCTAAATGTCAATCACTTCCAAAATGTAAACACAATAGGATTATCTCCATTCTACCGTGACATATGCACCATGAATAAAACGCGTTTTAAATATGCACTCATTACCCTTGCGTAGTGTTTTGACACTACGAGCAGTGAACCGGCTCTCAGAATTAGAAGTGAACAATTTTCAATAACCACTTTTGACTTATGGATCAGACGTTTGGGGATTTCATTCATCGCCTGATGTCGAAAATATACACACTAAATTCTGTAAATTAACTCTGGGGCTGAGTAGAAAAACTCCAAATAATTTTGCAAAATCTATTTTGGCTAGAAATTCTGTCGAGGTGCCACATTATTTAAAAATTGAAACTTTTGGCTTAGATTAATAACTCACGAAAACAACTTGCTATTGAAGAAAACGTATACTTTGCAATATAAAAGGGCAGAGAATGGTAGTGCTTGCTGGGCACTCAATGTTAAATCATGTTGTTTTCTTACGGATTCGCAGAGGTTTGGATTCAAGTACAGAGTGTTGGATGGGCTGATTTACTCTTACATCAGTTCAGGCAAATATGTGTAGACATTGAGAATCAAATCTGGCATGAAAATATTCAATCCTGCTCCAAACTGGAACTGTTCTTTGCTGTGAAAGATCATTTTCAATACCATAACTGGGTTCAATTTATCGATGTAAAATTATTTCAAATAAATATTTTAAATTTTCTTGGATCTAATCACAGTCTTCTAAGAGAAATGGGCAGATATTATAAAATTCAACGAAATGTACGTGTTTGCCCTTTTTGTATTACACCAGTTGTCAAGGATGAATTTCACTTTTGCCTCGTGTGGCCATTTTACCTTCATCTGCGATCCAATCTCCTACCTCAATATCATCACATGTTCCCAACTCGCGAGAAAATGGTCTTGTTATTTTGCTCCACTGATCAAAACATATGCAAGAATCTGACAAAATATATATTTCTCGCTGCTAAGAAACGTGATTCCTTTTCCAAAGGGATATCTGTGAAATAATATCTTAGTTACACTAATGTTCTCAATGTTCGTGTATTATATACAGCGCTCCTGTTACAATTGTACTTATCAGTACCCTGTACCTGTATAATGGGCCGGTGGCCCCTTTACCAGAATAAAATCAACACAATCTATATTTGACAAGTTGACTGATGACCAGTCTCGATTAGCTGACGAAAGATATTTCAGAGATTTGTTCATCCATTCAACGTGGTGAACGCATTCATACACTCACTGGATCAATCACTTTTTGCTTATACAGTTTGCTGATCGTTACTTCTGAAGAGTATCCTAGATTATGTCATCATAATCCTTGCAAAGGCAGATTAGGTTACAAGGCCTTTATTTTCAGAGTGACATCCTGTCATTTGTCTCTTAAGTTTCAGATAAAAGGGAACTTTCATCTATCGTTGGCGAGGACAATAATCTATATTCACCGAATTACCCACTTAATTACCCGACGTAAGTATTCGACGACCTTGCATGTAAATCATCAGTGACATATTACATAATGGAAACATATCGTATGTTCACACTAATGGGTGTGGTTACAGGTTATTGCTGTGCACTTTGCTCACACTTATCCTTCTGGTGATTCACTTTGTTAAGCATTTCAAGGCTGATGGTATTCCAACAAGGTGGGCGGTGGGGTAGCCTAGTGGTTAAAGCGTTGGTTCGTCACGCCGAAGACCCGGGTTCGAATCCCCACATAGGTACAATGTGTGAAGCCCATATCTGGTGTCCCCCGCCGTGATGTTGCTGGAATATTGTTAAAAGCGGCGTAAAACCAAACTCAGTCAGTCAGTCAGTCCAACAAGGTATTCCACGGAGGTATTAAACCATTCAAGGATGATGATGACTATCCCAGTGTCCATTTTGATTTTGTTGATGAATGTTAATATGAAATGTAGGTAAATATGTAATGAATTTAACCCGACTGTCCTTCACCATATCAGTGTATTCCCAGCTTTAGCATAGACACAGTAGTGAGTACGTAAGTGTGGTTTTACGGCGTTTGTAACAATATTCCAGCAATATCACGGATGGGGACAGCATAAATGGGCTTCACGCATTGCACCCATGTGGCAAAATGAACCCTGATCTTCGGCATGGTGCTTTAACCACTAGACTACCCCACCGTTCCACACAGACGCAACATGCTTGTGCTTGTGGCTCATGGGTCCTTCCATGGTATGACCCTGAAAATAGGAGGGAAAATTAGCTGTCATTTTTTTTAGAAGATAAAGAGACCCTACATGTATGTTTTGTTTTTCATTCAAGCAACACTGCGGTAAGCTGGAAGATCACCACTCACCCAAATAACACGATCAAGATCAACGTTCTTGAGTCAAGTATTGAAAAGTCTAATGGTTGTTTCCATGACTACGTGGAGGCGTTTGATGGTAAGTGGCGTGATATCTTTCCACTATATTCTATGCGGTACACATTGCTTACAACGGTAAATGGACAGGTTGCCACTATTGAGAATGAAAGTATGTGATTGCGTGCGTTCGCGCGTGTGTATGAGCCTGTGTCTGTGTTTGCGTTCATGTCTTTGTATTCATTACGGAGATCCATATACAAAAATACTGATTGCACTATGTTTAGGTTACATCCTAACTCCAAGGTAATTCTCCAAAATTACTGAAGGAACATTTGCATTTGATGGAGGAGACCAAACGATATTTGTTCTTTTAAAGGTTCTGACTCTAACGCCAAGTCACTTGGTCGCTGGTGTGGAAAGAGTGAACCAACGAAAACAAGTTCTGGATCAGTTATGTTCCTGAACTTCAAGTCAGACGCATCCAATGTTGATCGTGGGTTCATGATCACGTACACAAACCTAAATAATCATCACAAAAAACCTGGTAAGTTTTCGTCTGTCTAAACACATGTTTGACCTTTGATATCAGGCGACAGATGGGATTTCGACTATGATAGACATTGACGCGAAATTAGTATTCAATATTTAGAGGCAAACAGCTGAGGATGAAATGAAATATCAATATCTTTATCCAACAGCTCTAAATTGGTAAATTATTCCTGGGTGAAACTTGCTGTACAGGTAATTTCGGTAGTAAACTGGTGCCCTTGGATCATTTGGGATGAATATACATCATTTACCACAGAACGCAGGTACAATTTTATTGTAAATACACTCCTGATTTCACGTTCAGTGGAACGTTTCCGATCATAAGGTTATTTGTGAATGACATGATCATTTTACTCCATGTTGGGAGAAAACTCGAGGTGGAAAGAAATAGAAAGAACATTGGCACCATGCCAAAAGGAGGCCGTCAAGTATATACTTACGTATCTAGGCCCTATGAGTGAGTGAGTAAGTTAAAATTGTACATCTCATCGGCAATATTACAGCTATATGGCGATGAAAACAAGGTAATCATTATAATAAAAAATATCTGTCGATTAAGGACAGTAAAACCAACAAGAATATCACAGTATCAAGAATTAAAACTAGCATCTCTCTCTTAAATAGGACAATACATTATATAAACGGGCTGAGTATCGCCAACACCTGAAGGTAGGTCACCATACTAGGGACCATGCATGAGGACTTACAGTACCTTTGCTACCTGCATGGACCCCAGCTGGAGTTACACCATTCCTTCAGCCACTGGCGATTCTAATAATACTTAGCCATTATAAAAACAACAAATATTCTACGATTGAAAAGCTTGGTAGAGCTAAATTGACTTTGAAAGTTTGGGGACTTACTTACCCTCTAAGGAGGACTCTAGGTCCTATGACATGTACCGAAATTACTCCATTTGTACAGTGATTTCCAAAAAGTAGTATCGGCACATTTCAGCGACGTCACAACAAGAGATTTCAAACCTGTTAGAACTAGAGATGTAAATGCAGTTACTGAATATAATGACCCAACGTCGTCAGGGATAACCAACATTTGTTTAGATAAAGGTATACAGATAACGGTATGCACAAGAACTATCTTTGAGAAAAATACTCGTTTATAAATCAGGCATATGATACTTAAGTTGTCCGTAATTATTACTCCTTATAAGGACCTGTTACAAGAAAAGAGACCTTCTATAACTGATCATAGTTGTTACGAAACAATCATGTATTCGGTCGGGTCTCGGAATGGCACTGACAAAACAAGAATCATTATCACTGTGAATATGAGAGTCTCTTATTCATTATTATTTCTCTTATACATTTCTCTTATCTATGCATTATCGATTTATATCAGATAAGAGGCCATCTAAAGATGCAAATGTTGGGGACATCGTTGGAGGTTCGATTGGTGGCGCGTGTCTGCTGACTCTCATACTAAGTGGAATCGGTGTTTGCGTCTACAAACGAGGCCAGCGAAGCGATACAAAAGACGTACCCAGCAAAATTGACAAAGAACCTATCATCGACGCCAAGTCCCCAACCAGAAAGGCGACGAGTTTTACTGCGTCTCCGGAGTACATTAACATGGAAACAGCGTTCTGCAGACTTTAAAAATCACCTCCCCAAAAAACAAAAACAAAAAACAAAAAATAGTTACAAAAATCAACAAACAAACAAAAAGCCAATAACAAAACAAACAAAAACAAATAAAAACAAAACAAAAACCATACCATGGATTCTCCTGTTTATCACAGAACATTTCTGATATGAAGATTATGTTGACAGATTCGTCAAGACACTCTCGGTCTGAGTCCAATGTGAATAGTACAACTACACAAAAAGAGGTGTTAATCAAATGCTTCTATGAACGAGATATAATCTCTGTTTTGTAGAGAATGGTGGGATGGAGCTGGTGAGGATTGTGTCTCGAGTATTTGTCATTAACAAATGGAAATACAGTATAAAAGATATTTACTTTTCAGGAACGCTATCATGCATGCATACAAACATATATATTACTGACATTTATTTTTCTAGTAAACAACAAACACTTTTTTATATACTTTGAGTAAATACGTGCGCTGATTATCGGTCATTCTTTCATATATCTGTCATCGTCTTTACTTTGTCGTTCACGTCCAAATGGAATCGGATGATGTTATGACATCTGATAATCGAGAGCTTTGTGTGATATATATTGAAATGCAAGCTGACAATAACCAGTGATCGTGGTATTTCTATCAAAACCCAAGATAATATACTTTCATGGTTGATTTGAGTTGATTATAATAATCAGGTCAAATGATTAATTCTTTTAATCTCTGTTATCTCTTTTGCTTTTTGCTTCGAAAGCGTAAATGTTATAATTATTATATTTGCATCATTATCGTCAAATTACGTGTTTTCGAACATCCTATGTGTTTGGGCGCCAGTGTTTACTCTGTAACAAGGGATGTTGCCAAGACATTGTCAATACTAGGATAGTGGATACTCAATGCATTATGTGCTGGCGATAAGGCGCCTCACTCTGAGAGTGTGGGTTCGAATCCTGGATGAGACTGAATCCTAAAACGCTCTAGAATCTGCACTTTAATGAGAAACTAGAATCCCAAGTATGACACAAGTCACTTGAATTTCGGCTTGCGTTTAAAATATTGTTGTCCTTTTTAAGCTAGTGAGATGTTTAAAGTTGTTGATGTGGTTGTCGGAAAACACGCAAACGAGGAGACACAGTGTTTAACTTTGTAATAAAGTGATCAGTGAAGAACAACACAGTTTTGATTTGGTTATCAAAGGTTGATGACGTGTAATCATTTATTTATTAAATACAGAACTGCCCATTAACCATTTCTCTATGTATGTGATGTCTGTATAATATGGATACCTTGACGGTGAAAGATTATATTTAAACACACCACAAATGTCTGTTGAATCACAAATGCCACTTCGATCTTTGACATGAACATAATTTGCTGTGATGTATTGGGGCGTTGCTGATATCATTATCCAGATTATATCAGTAAATAAATACAATGTCGTGCAAGAGTGTGTATGTTGCTGCTTGTATTCACGGAAAAGTCATTCCCCAAATTCAGCATGGATACCCCACTTAAACCCATTACACCAGTCCCTACGGGATCTGTCCCGTTCTCTCATTAATGCCATCCGCCCGGCAAGGTAAAACCAACTACCGTTTTTAGTATATCGCAGGCACGGGATCGAACTAGGGAAACACAGCCACCCTATCCAATGCACCACGTACTCTCTTCATTTAGTAACAAGTAAAACCAGAATCGTTGAACTCAGTTGGAACGTTATACATGAATGGCGACATGCGTTTATTCCTTAGATGTATGATACTCACAAGGGATTGCGTATTCTCTTGGGAGACAGACATAATTCCTAGGACACAAACGCCCACTTTGTACAACTTTGTGGCTTCTCTGGCACAGTCACACTTGTTAGAATATGGTAGAAGGAATTCTGCGGAAGAGACATTCGACATCTTTTTGCCACATTTTAGTGAATAATATTCAGCTGTTAGACAATTTATGAAACTATTTTAACGATTGATAATTAAAGTTGACGCGCCATCTTGCTTGACAGTAATAAAAGAACGATTTTAAAATAGATGCTGGGGCAAATGGCGGAAAATATTTTAACAGCCTTCTGACGGCGGCCGGTTATGACCTCTACGCCCCACCCCTCTCTCTCTCAAAATGCAAACTCCTACGATAAGGTGTGCCGTGTGTTCCATGTAAGTCTAACGTTGTGAGAGCGGTTGCTGCCACCCACGTATTACTCCTTTCGTACAGTCAGGCTTTAACTATGTCGCAAACGGGTAATTATTCAAGGCGATAACAGGTATTATCTCTATGCTCCGTGTGGTTGGACAACAGAAACAACGACACAATGTAAACTGTGGCTTAGGAACTAAGATCAATAAAATTCAAAGGGTTTCGGGGTGGGTAGGTATGTGGAAAGCCTAGTAGCCACGTGGTTAAAGCATTCGCTCGTCACGCCGAATGCCCGGGTTCGAAACCCCACATGGGTACAATGTGTGAAGCCCTTTTGTGGAGTGCCTCTCTATGATACTGCTGGAATATTCCTAAAAGCAGTGTTAAACTCACTCATGGATATCTGTCCGGCACATGGGTTGATAGCGATATTAAAATAAGCAACATCACTTCATTGCAAATTTGACTACAGTTTCTAATAAAACAAATCTGCAGGTGAGTGGCAAACATCTGCAATGATGACGATAACAAGCACATTATCTGTCGCATAGTCACGCGCCATATACTACGACAGATTAGTCATCAAGTTCTGTGATATTGTTGCGACAAGTTTACGAAATTAAGACTCTTAAAAGGACATATTTGATGCTTGTTTGTGCACGTTAATGAAACATCCCTGGAATATTTGCCGATTAGTTATTTGCATAATTTCGTAGAGTCTAGACTGAACAGCAAGCTCAGGTTGAAATACGAAATTGATACCAGAAGAAACATAATGGAATAGTGAGTCAGTTTAATTTTACGCCGCACTCAACAATCTTCCAGTGGAATGGCCGCGGTCTGTAAATCATCGAGTCTCGACCGGACATTATCAAGTGATCAACAGCATGAACATCGATCATACGAACAAGTCAGCGAGCCTGACCACCCGATCCCGTTGGTCGCCTCTCACGACAAGCATGGGTTACTGAAGGTCAGTTCTAACCCGGATCTATAGTAGATAATGGAATAGATATGGGGGGTTTCAGAAGGAATGCAAGCTCCAACAGAAAACAAACGTTTAACGTTTCCACTTGTTTCTGTTTTCTGTACATGTACGCATCGCACCAACGCAGTACCGTTATCAAAACACATAGGTTGCCGATAACATACTACAGTCGCTAGGTCGGTATGTCACAATTTTCGCCCCATGAACAACTCCGTGTAAGACATGAACATCGTAATGGTGCTGTACACTGGGCAGAGCTGACGAGGATACATACGATGGCATCACAATTCACTGCAGTCGTGCTCTTGGGTATTCTGTCTCCTGTACTTACCACAAATACACATAAATATACATACATGTAAATTTATATTGACAGCTCAGCCTGTTGCGTAGAGGTCAGGTACACATCATACGTCATGCGACAGCACCAGGACATGCCATCAGCAGATGAACAGTCCTTCGACGTCTTGGTATGGCTGGCATACGAGCCCACAACCCCTTCCCTGGAATGACCTTGACCCGTCTAGACCGTCAACGCAGACTGCAATGGGCACGAGTGCTCTTTACATATTTCAGGCGGTTCGGAGTTCAAATTATTCGACGTAGGTTAGAGCGAGGTTGGCGCCATCATGCGTTCAAGTAGTTCCTCCGTTCGATGGAGGAGGTGCCATGGTATGTGGCCAGAGAACAACAAGACTGATGATCATCCAAGGAAATGAGAATGCAGAGTGTTGAGACCTACTGTGCTGCCCTTTACTCGACAACAGCCAAGTGGAGTAATTTGATGAAATAAACATAAGTTATATTTGAGATTACACTTTCGCAGTAAAGAAGATATTCTAGTACTTTTGTTGGAATGAGTCCCACCCGGGTTTCGAACCCACACCCTCAGAGTCAGGCACCTAAGTGCCAGCACGCAAAGTCAGCCGTCTGAACCCGCTCAGCCACTGAGCCTTCCACTAAGAAAATGTAGTACAGATCACGGTCTTTGTGCACCCCTGTGATAAGTGTAAGTTGGCACGGCTCCCACGGCCAAAAGCTACGAATACACAATTACATAATATTATGATGTGGTCAAATGTAACATATGTTATATTTGGGATTACACTTTCCCAGTAAAGTACAGACTCTCCTGTCTCATTGTGTGACTCTTTATGCACTTTGTGAATGAACTCTGATTTGTGTAGTATTAATTTTAATCCCTTGACTTTCCTTAATGAATTCCTGCAATTGCAAGACCAGCATTATTATGGATTTTCCGTTAAATTATTGGAAAATGAGTTCTGTCCGTAAAACAATTATCATAAATCTCACATACTTCTTTGTTTCTATTATTTGGTCAAAAGAAGTTGGTGATAAGTTTCTTTTTCCCGGTAGTTTAAGTCACCTGGTTACCAATCCACGGAAGTTTTGTTTAAAACAGTTTGTGCATGTGTCCTTTCAGAGCAAGGCAATCACGAGCCAAACTATCCATCATATCTATCTTCAATCTGGTTGCTATGGGTAGAAATGGTTCTCCAGTATGTCTACAGATAATGTGACATAATACACATATAATAAAGGGTTTTGGATTGACACGATGGCACAACACATATATTGGATGAGACATGCGATTGCAAACATCTGAAAATTAAGTGTCCATAAATTTTATTAAAACATACCAGAATGTGAAGGATGTGAAGCAGCAACTTTCGTTGCCTACGCTCACTTTTATGTTGTTAATATGAAGATATGAACAGGAGGTGGTATCAGCCATTTTACCGTACTGCTCAGATTGCCTTACATAAAGAACATAGCAACAACAGGGAGTTTCTAAATGGTTTGATGGTCATGAGTTCACTGTTTTAATGTCGCAATGAAAAAAGGATTACATATTAGTCCATTATACATTTATTCACAGATAAATATTATGAACAATGTTCTCAGCTTTACAACTACAAAACAATTAGAAAAAAGTAAAATGGACTCACTTATATGTCTACTTACAGATCGGAATAAAGCACCATTGTTATATGTACACAGTTTTCCTTTAAGCTAGTTCATATCTTGTTTGACAGATGTTTGTAATTGTCATTAGTTGAGGAAATGTCGAACGCAGCGGTGGCATGGATGCATGCAGAGAGCCTGCTGTTACTTTCACCTTTATTGACACCAGCTACTCTCGCCGCAAATTTGCAGATTGCGGATAGAAGTAGCGGGGTACCCCCGCAATAGTACCCACAATAACAACTGCAACTTTCGGGAAACAGGTATTTGTATCTGTAGTGATAAGCAAAGGAATATCATGTATTAACATTGACCTTAAGGGGAATGCCATTACTATGTTCTGTTAGTTCAAACATAAACTGAAAGTGGCAAATATAGAAGTACATACGCGCCAAAGAGGTAAATAAAGGAAGTACAGAGTCGTGCAAAAAGTATTCGGACGAAATGGCGACCTCGTTTTATTGCGGAATCGCTTCGCAACTTTGAATTCGCGTTATCGGCAATCGCGATGAAAATGACACTGACATTATTTTTGGTAACAGTCATTCATGTGATCCGTCAGGTCACGTGGTTGTGTTGTCGTCTGTTGTCGTCGCGAGAGCATGAACTGAATATGGGTCGAAAAGGTAAGGAACTGACCCCCCCAACATAAAAAAGGTAGTGAAACAATTACTTTTGGAGGGAAAACCTATAAGATACATAAGTAACCTACTTGACGTTCCTCGGTTGGTGAAAGTGAATAGACGTGACACTTTGGCAGATATTACCCAAAATGTCATTGAAAATAGACCTGATCCAGTGGCAAAAAGAACTCTGCAATTTCATTTGCACAAAAAACGATTGTCACAGACGTGTTGCAAAGAAAAGGGTTTTTTGTGAGGGAGATTAACTGAAAGAAGCGGCTTGGGTGGTATAAAGAATAAAGACGATTGACAGTTGATAATTACTGGAGGAAAGTTATCTTTTCTGACGAGAGTAAGTTAATGATTGGACACGATGAGCGTGTTCACATCTGGAGAAAACGAGATGAAGGATGGATACCCGATCTTGTGTCACCCCGATATCACCACCCCGGTATTCAGTTATGATTTGGGGATGCATATCATGGCACGGAGTTGGGACCCTGACACCCTAGAAGATAATTTGTGGCCAGTTATCGCCCGGCATTGTCCTGACGGAGGATGCATTTTTCAACTTTGACAACTCCCCGGTGCACCGGGCGAGATCAACGTTAGTATACATGGCCAGAAATCACATAAATAACATGTCATGGCCTGCTCAAAGTTCAGACATCAATATCATCGAGAATGTGTGGTTATTTCTAAAAAGGAA